TTACAGAGGTGAAGTTTCAGTGTGTGATGGTTGAGTTGAGATTTCGAAAGTTTTTGGCGATGAGAAAACCGAAAAGGAGAGGAAAAACGGTTCACGGTAAAGGGTGCCTTTGGAACGTGAGTTCGCTTCATAGCTTTCCTCGTCTCCTCAACGGCAGGATAATAAATACTTTAATGGCATACTGACATGGCAGCACTGTGAAATAGGTGGAAAAATGACCGAAGGTGCATGTGTAACAAGAAGCAATGCAGACAGAAACCACCATACTTCGTTCCAGTGCAGTGTTGAGATGAAGTAAAGCAGGGTGATATGCGTCACTGGAAGGCATCCTACAAGTGAAAATATGCGTAGATCGTCGTCGTAACATTTCAAAGGATGTTGAGTTTCCATCGATATTCATTTTGGAAACGAGCAAAAGGAAGCGAAAACGGATCACGAGTAACGTTTCATTATTTATATGCTTCCTTCCAGATTTGAGACACCGCCATTCCGGTCAGTTCCCAAGTTGTACGCAGCAGGTCTCCCTGTAGAGCACTGGTCGCGTCAAAGTTCCGCCGCCGGCCAGCTCCGTTGCCGTTCTGCTCACCTTGAAACACGGGCCAGCGTTTGGCTCGCTGAACTTAACGATGTCATTCTTCAACCGAATGGCCTGGAACTCGAGCATCCTTAACACGCGTTTGATAGCATTTAATGAGGGTTTAAAAGTACAGTGGCGAGTTTATATATTTTATTTGTATGCGGTTTTTAGGCGCTGACAATTCTGATTAAAAATTTCATTTTTCATTTAACTTTGAGATATCAAAAATTCATGCCCGTGCCGTGCTGTTTGATAAGTGACGCTGAGGACGGGGCGGCGCGGCGGAACAAATTAAGTACCCCTCAACCTCCCCGGACGCACGAACAGATCTCACCACCTTCCCATGGGACGTCGAACGTAATCAGCTCAACCCGAGGTGGACCCGTCGCCTGATGACAGACCCGAGCGAAATGTGTCTCCGAGCTGACCCAATCACAGCAAACAACTCCGCTTCTGCAGCAGAAGCACCGGTGTCCAGATAACTTGACATGTAGGCGGACGGAAAATGACAGATCATCGATGGAGTCCGTTTATGATTCATGATTTCGGTAGAACGCCATGCCGCATTCAGCAGCTATCGTGACATGAAGAAGCGGTGTATTCTGTGAATCAGATTTAACTGAGTGATTCAGTGTCGTTTTTCAGTGTCATTTGAAATTAAATGTCTCACGTGTTGAAACTTGACATTCGTATTCCTGGTTTCAGTGATACTTCATTTATACCTTTATCCATTGTAGTTCGTAAGTTCGTCTTGTCTCAATCCATCCGTCCTCTTTTTGTCCCAATCCACCCGCGTTCGTCCCACTTGCCGATGTCATTCAATTCACTACGGCATTTCCATCTCCCAAAAGGCTTATAATTAGCCCGCGCGATGCTGATTGATCATCTATGTAATATCGCACGGTCATCTGCCATGGGGTCAACACGAAATAGCTGAATGCAGGCCAAGCTGCCGACAGCTGCCCAAAACCGACTGCAAACGGAAAAAGCAATTCAAAATGTTCACTGGTTAGATTGATTGGGAAAGGAATACTGGGAGATCTGCCAGCACTAGTCCTCATACAAGGATTGTGACAGGCTCAATATAAAATGGCATGAGCCCTTTCTATTGTATTCCTCTGAATTCAATAACCTTCTTAGAGCTATAAAGTGAACCCTTTGACCTGAAGTAATCACATTTTCACTTTGAAATCCAGCAAAGTTGAAAGAACTCGGCTTAGCCCTTATTCCGCTCGCTAATTACGCGTCCCAATAAGCCAAGCGCCACATCGTTACATCTTCACCCAGACTGTTGGGCATATAAAGGCTGAACAATGACGGCCCATAAAACGCGGGCGGTCAAGCGTTCATAAACTATGCATCCTTCAGACGGTCCGGCGGACATTGCCACCAGGCGTGGTCGGCTCCGGTCGAAACTCGGCCCCATCTGAGCAGCGTCCGTACCCAACCGGCTGCGGGGAGACGCCTCAATCTGAGGCAGCCCCGCCGGGAGACCGGCTGTCAGCGCAGCCCGCCTGCCAATGGGGTCATTTTCGGCATGCCCGGGTCTCGAGTGCGGCCCGGAGATAGCGCGGCAGGACGATGTATGACGCGGCGAGAGGAGAGCAGATAGAAACGGCGGAGGGAATGGCGGCGTCGGGACGGCCGCGCACAGCACTGGGAGATAGACGTCAGATCGGGGAGCGCGGCGAGATGAAACGGCAACTGTCGGTGATCGTTCTGCTCGGTCAACGACGGCCCATTTTCCCTGAACATACGCACAGTTTGTCGTGCTTATATAAGTTTTGCGAAGTTAGTAAAATGTGTAGTACCAATTTAAAATCACCCATTCACAGAAGTATTGTTTGCTGTGCACTTCAAAAGACAATTACGCTCGTTTAAAAAGCAAAAAAAAAAAAATCGATCAACAATCACCAGCACACCTCCCCTCCAGCCAACTCACCAGTGACGTAATGTGTGTGTGACGTCATCACTACCTGGCCAGCAGACAGGCTGTGACCGGCAGGAGCCAGGTGGCCGGCCCCCGTCCGCTGAGCGCGCTACCGGTGCTGTTCCGCCGGCTGATGGCGGCCGTCTTGTCGGCTGGAATGAGATAGACGAAGGGAGATGGTGTTAGGCGTCTGCTGATGGGTGTGAGGTGAGGAAGATATACGCGAGACGTCCGTCATCCATCGTCAGTCGTCTGTTGTCAACCATCAGTCGTCAGTCGTCTGTCTCCAGTATTCATAATCTGTACGTCAACCGTAGTCAATCATCTCGACCATTCTCGACATGTGTCGCGCAACAGGCATCAGTCGTCACCTCATCATACATCAGACTACGTCATATCACGTCAGTCTCTAATGGTCACACATCAACTGCCAGACTCGCCATCGACTGTAAGTTCAGAGACATATCGCCGCCTTTCAGAGGTTACGCACGCACAGGAAAGGCTGTGGAGTGGAGCAAGACGGTGCTGAGTCACGCGACCCACGAGCGTCGAAGGGAAAGGGTCATCGTACCGAGAAAGGCGACAAAGAAAGCTCGTAACGCCAGATTAGCTGTGGCTGTTGCGGAAAATCGTGCTAAGGTATGTGAACGAAAATTCCAGAACAGTTAAGTTTTTTTTTTTAGTTTAAGCACTTAACCATGAAATGGTTGAGCTCGGCGCTGATGGCTGCATAAACAAGCTACTCAACCCTTATTGAATTCGACTGGATTTGCCGAACGTAGTTAAATAACTAAAATCCAAAACACTAAGTGTCAACATCGTCTTATTTGCGATGTTCGATTGCCGTTAACTTCAGGCGAGTTTCCGCCGGTCTGGGCTGTAAATCTTTGACGTGGTAGTCGCTGGTCGCGGGCTCCCGACAGCCAACGGCCGGCGTGGCGGTCTCAAAAAGACAGACGGCACGTGCACAGCCAAGTGGCGATGGTCGATTGGTCCGGTTCATGCGGCCGGACCGGACCGGACCGACGAAATCGAGAGCCGGAAACAGATCGGTAAATGGATGGGGCACAGAGGAGAGCCGGAACAGGAAGGCGGAAACGAGAAATGGCGACGATTTCGTGGGCGGCCATGATGGTTGACTTTTCCGAGAAACTGGGGAGGAGATAGTGGAGACCGCGAAGTGCTTAGGATGGTTACGGAGCGAGCGAAGCGAGCGTAGTCTTTCCTTAGATTAACGGAAATTTCTGAGTATGAGCGGCCGGCCGGCCGGCCGGCCGTGGTCACGCTTTTGCGAGGCTTATATCTCAGCAACCACTTGACCGATTTACACGCGGTAATTTTTGTAGGGTAGCTTCATTCCTTCTACCAAGTATTGGACTAGTCCCGATGCATGTGGGTGACCCCTTATGCACGTGCCACGTGCAAAACGAAGAGGTGTCACTTTTGTAATTGTTGCAATATCTCGGTAACTACTTGGCCGATTGCGCTGAAAGTTGGCATGTAGGTAGGCACCCACTAGGCACTGCATATACATGTGCCAGAGTTGGGGTGCTGCTGCACGTGCGCACGTTTGTTTGTTTGTTTGTTTGTCGTTTATTCATGATTATGGGCATGGACAATGGACAGAAATAAAGTTGAATTGGTGCAAAAGCATAAACTTATTACGAGGCACCTCTTCAACAAAACAAAACGAAACAGAGCATCACCGAAATAAACACACACACACACCAGGTCCCACGCGCAACCCCGCTGCCCCGACAGACCTTCCGACCACTATAGCTGGACCACACGCGCTCCGCCAGCCTGCGGCCTCCCCCTAACTTTGTACGGCGGCCCGTCTGGCCAGACCGGGACGGTGCCGTTCCATGGCATATGCCGTCCCGGCCCCGGGGAGAGCTGTGGGATACCTCCCCGGGCCGGGGAGATCTGGTGGATACCTCCCCGGCGCTCCAGACGGGCCGCGAGCCCCCGCCCGCACCCCCGGAAAATCATCTTTCCCGGGGGTGCCCCCTAACCACCGCCCGGGCGAGGGGAGCGCCGACCTGACCCGACAGACCGGCGCCCCGCCCGCCCGGGCGGCCGACCGGTCCCTTTCAAGTGGGACCGGTACCCAGGTTGGCCCGGATGGGTCATAGGGGCGGGGGCCCAATGCTCGGCAACTCAGGGTTCCGCCACAGGCCGGCGGAGCCCGTCTGGTCCTATAGTAGACCACATCTGCTGTCCACTGCCCGTGGCATCTTTTTTTTTTAAGCAAATCGTTTTGTTTCAAAAATGAATCCCTGAATGATATGCGCCACTTGCTTCGCTTGATTACTTGCTATGTGAGTTCCCTTCAAAAGTATGTCAAGTTGTACTTTGTCAAGTAATTGTGGGAAAGTAGGAATTAATTGTGATATTTCAAAAATCATTCTAATCCTAGCATTAGCATAAAGGGGACAGTGCAAAATAAAATGTTTTTGGTCCTCGCAATGATAGCCACAGGAGCAATTCGGACCATCTACAAGCTGATTTTGAATTCCGAACATATGTGCGTTAAGATGCGACATTCCGAGTCTCAATCTAGTTAGCAAAATGCTTCCCGTTCTCGATCCCAAATTGTAATACAAAGGTTGTGGGGCTTCGCCCAAGCGCTCTCGTATCTCTCGCTTAAAGGAACGTGATGAATGTAAACACCTGATGTGTGATGGCAGACGATTCCAGATCCTTATGGTGGATGGGATGAAGGATTTTTGATAGGATGTAGTTCGATTTGGAGGGAGCGTGAGTGATGCCGCATTGCGAAGTGGTCGTCCTGTGTCTTGTGCTCGTGTGTCGGGTAGAAGTGCATTCGTGTTTGGTGGTAGTGTGTGCCTGTCCTTCATAAGTGCATGGAGCGTGGTGAGTTTGTGGATCTCCCTTCGTGCTTGGAGTGTGGTCCAACCCAAGTCTTGTAGTAGAGTTTTGGTATGTGTTCTGAGAAGAGCTCCTGTGATGAGTCGAGCGGCTCTGTTATGGAGTCGTTCAAGACGTAGAGAGTCATGAGTAGTCAGGTGTCCATCGTAGATCACGTCACAGTAGTCAAATATGGGGAGAATGTAAACAGTATAAATGTTTTTGAGAATGTGTCTAGGAAGGATTCGTGACAGTGGGTATAGAGGTCCTAGAGCCCTATTCACTTTGGATATGATGTCGTTAACGTGTTGGTGGAAATGCATGTCTGTTGATATGGTTAATCCCAGGTGTTTATGTGCAGTTACACATGGGATCGCTTGACCGTCAAATGTCAGTTTGGGAGGATCGTGTGTGGTCTTGTAAGTGAATGTCTGCTGTATAGTTTTGGCACCATTGAATGTGATTTTCCAGTCGCTGCCGAACTTCCCTATGGTGGTGAGATCTTGTAAGAGTGAATGTTGAGCATTGGTTGCATTGTGTGTGTGTGGTGTGAATAATGTGGTGTCATCAGCAAAGAACAACATGCTGTTATGAGTTCGATCTGCTAAGTCGTTTAAATAGATGAGTGCTAAAAGGGGCCCCAACACGGAGCCCTGTGGGCATCCAGCGTTGATGGTTCTTGGACGACTAAAACTTTCTCCAACTTTGATTTTTTGAACTCTATTTTCTAAGTATGATTTGAGCCACTTAAAGAGATCCCCTGTAATACCACAATAGTTTTTACACTTAAATAAAAGACCCTCGTGCCATATCTTGTCGAAATATTTGCTGATATCCAGATAGACCACGGTAAAATCGTCACCTTTGTCTAAGGCAGTGTACAGACTATTGGTAAAGTGGATTAGTTGAAGCACCGTACTGTGGTGTGGCCGATAGCCACTTTGATTGTCTGTAAGCAGAGCATTTTCAGTGAGATGATCATAAATATGCTTGAATATTATTCTTTCAAAAACCTTGGAAATACATGGTAATAAACTAATAGGCCTATAATTTACTGGGTCTGACTTGGATCCTTTCCTCTTGTAAATTGGTAAGACGTCCGCAATCTTCCATGATGATGGGAAGACGCCTTGGGTGAGTGACATGTTAAACAGTTTGGTCAGTGGAGTTTTGATGATTATAGCACACATCTTCAGAAGTTTAGCTGGCACATTGTCACTACCTGTTGATTTGTTAGGGTCAATGGCATTGAGGGCAGAAAGTACCTCGTCCTCTGTGATCACAAATTTATCCAGTATGGGAGGCTCAATAACTGGGGCAGACACTGGTGTCATTTCATCGACTTCCAGCAATGACTGTTTAGCAAAGAACTCTCCTAATAGGTCAGCTTTGTCTGAGTCATGTTCTAATATGGCTCCATTTTTGTCAACTAAGGGTGGTAAGGTGTCTATTTTGGCATTTCCCAGCATGTGCTTTAAAATGCGATGATACTCGTGGGGATTCTTTTGAGATTCTAATAGCTCATTACATTGCTGTTGGAGATGTCTCACTTTGAGACTTTTGTTCAGACTGGTAGTTAGATTTCTTTGTTTTTTCCAGCTGTTCCAGTGATGTTCAGTTTGGTGTTTTTGAGCTAGTTTAAATAATCTGTCTCTTTTCCTGATCTCCCTCCTGAGAGAGGCGTTGACCCAAGGCTTGTCAATCACTCGCACTTTAATAATTTTGGTAGGTATAGTCTCTGCAGCAGCTCTTAACAATGTTTCTGTAAAATTTACTGCTGCTACATCAATGTCATTACTGACTACTGCTTCCCAGTCAGTATGAGTAAGAATTTGTGACAACCTGTCGGTGTTCATATTTTTATAGTCCCATATCTCTTTATATCTTACTTTAGTTTTCACTGTTTCCGCCACGTGCAGGGGTCGTTTCCAGATCTCGGGAACGGCTGGACCGATTGCGCTCAAATTTGGTACACGGTTAGGGACCGGTTAGTAGGGTGCCGTGCACAAGTCAGTTGGGACCCATTTTGCACGTGCGCACGTGCAGGGTGCCGCTTCCAGATCTCGAGAACGGCTGGGCCGATTGTGCCCAAATTTGGCACATCGCTAGAGACCAGTTAGTAGGGTGCCATGCACAAGTCAGTTGGAGGTACCCCCTCGCAATTTCGCACGTGCAAGGCCCACCCTCTCGCTCGCTCCGTTAGTCGCCCCAAAAGGCGTTATACTGGTAGGTTACTATTTGAAGAGATCAAAGCTTTTTTAAACGTGTAAGAGTTGAACATTCTCTAGCGCTATGTGTGGTCTAATCTATTTTATAGTTTGATTATATCACTATATTGCGAGGTGCAATTTCAAAATTGAGGTCGGGCTTAGTTTCATTTTTCATTTGTTGTCATTTTTTTTATAAATTTAGTCCGAACCTTTTGATTTGAAGGATTCACAAGGACAGAGCCCACACTAAGTGAAGCTTATTGCGTTGACCCTGCCCTCTACCCTCCGCGCAATTCCGGTTCTCCGGCAGAATTTAGAGTCCAAAATTTAACGTGCGCACAGAGCCGCGCAGCCGGCCAGTCCCCTCACTGACTTCGCCTTGCTACGGCCTGCCACTAACCGCAAACATGCCTGTCAGGAGTCCCATAAATGTCAAGCGCCCGTCACGCTTCGAACCATGACTGTTATAACCGGGAACGCGTGCCCTCACCACGCGGAGTCCAGCGCTCTACCGACTGAGCTACGGGACCGGCTCAAAGTCATCCTGCTCAATAACGGGTTCGATGTAATTTTGTTGTCTGTCTATTGAAACACAGCACGTCTAACTGTAATGGTAAGTGCAAGATGAACATTGATATTTAATTATTCATTTCATAAGCAGTTGCATGATGAGCTTATAACAATGGAAATAAGAATATCAGTCATATAACCGAAAACTGGTAACTACCTACACATGCATTGCATCGAAAATGCAGAACATTTGTCGACCAGCACGACCTAAAGTGAAGAATGGCATTACCGTAAGGTCTGTTTTTACAACGCTCTTATACCTATTATTGTCGAGAACAATCTATCATAGACCGGTGATGTATGAGAGGTCATACATACACATGAGTGTCCTATATTTTGTGTCACTTGCATCATTTTATCACTAAGACGGCAAGAACCCCCGAAGTGGATACCTTGCATCATATTGGGATAACAAGTAACACTCAGAATGGATATGACATCTGATATCCCTCACAAGACCAAAGAAAGCATGCATCTTCTGGCATCATTTCTCTTTACCAATGCCCGAACTGGGCAGAGGCTAACCGTTAGAATAGCCTCCTGACCGCCTCCATGCCCGGCTGCTGCTCGCCGCTTCCGTACATTGGAGCCAACCGCCTCAGAAACTGGCCGCAGACGTTCCCAGTCGACTGTGAACGACCTACCGTGGCTCGAAGGACGCCAATGACGCGCCTCCTCGCCCGCGGCGATTTCAATAGAGGCCGACCGGCTGGCGGTGGCAGCGGCCCGCCCACCTCGGTCGGGGCTCGAGGGAACCTCCTCCGTGACCGACTTAACTGAACTCGGTCTCACCCGACCGAGCCATCGATATTCGACAGTCCGCGCGCTCTCTGACTGATCCACTCTCACCCAGCTGAGTACGCTCTCACTCGACTTCTCTGCCTCTCCACTCAGTTGAGTCCGCTCTCTCACCACTCTGGCCGCTCTCATCCAGCAGTCCTCTCTCTCTCTCTCTCTCTCTCTCTCTCTCTCTCTCTCTCTCTCTCTCTCTCTCTCTCTCTCTCTCTCTCTCTCTCTCTCTCTCTCTCTCTCTCTCTCTCTCTCTCTCTCTCTCTCTCTCTCTCTGTCTCTGTCTCTGTCTCTCTCTCTCTCTCTGTCTCTCTCTCCTCCCTCTCTCTCTCTCTCTCTCTCTATCTCTCTCTCTCTATTTCCATCCCCTTCCCCTCTCACTCAGCTGAGACGTGGTTAACTGGCGATAAATCTGCACCAGCCCACAATCGACCGGCCTGTAGGTGACCATATCTAGTATCATTTGGGTCAGCATTCTGCAATTGAAATTCCGCCGGCGTCCGGCTGGCCCCATTTCTGGTGCCCGGCGTGTGGGCTCTCGCAGATCGAGTGCCACCGGCCCGATATAGTTGCTTTTTATGCAGCTTCGCAGCCAGTTTCGTCCACTAATCGGTTAGCGCCGCTCTCTGGCAGACTTTAAATGGCCCTGGTCATCCCCGTAATTTCCGGTCAGAGAGTTATAAAAGGAAGACGGCTATAAAGATTTGATAGTTATCTTAGTATAGCTCGGAACGCACCTACACTATGATCACCTGGAGAAAGTCATGACAAAATACGTAAATCGGAGGTAAGGAAACTTCAGGTTTTATTCATACTATTCAATGTATTCAATGAATCATGTACTTACCTATGTCATAATTTAAATGTCATAAAATGCATAGAAACATGCAACTCCATAAGTATGGCAAGACACGATTGAAAATGTGACTGCAAGTCTTTTGAATAGCCTCCAGACTGGTCCCAGTTTATTCCCGTGTCCATAGATCCGGACCAGCAAAATGAATGTTCGGATGAAAAGGAGCGAGTTGTGAGGAAGGGTAAGAAAACACTTCGAGAACTTCCAATGTGATTCTATTAGAAAAATAAGGGGAAACATGTGAGCAGTTCCTAAGCCACTAAAACATTTCGACAAGTGAGTTATGAAGTGGTAAGTACTTTACCTCAGCGGTGTTTTTCTTCAAATTATCAGCACAAAATTCTGAAGTGTTCGCGACATGTACTGGTCGGAAACCAGCATTGCGGTTGATCTGGGTACGTGTTAAATGGAAAAGTCTGAGAGCGCCATCGCCCGGCGGTCGGCAGACGAAGGTACATCTGAGCCGTCACTCTCTGCCGAATGTCATCTGTGGCTCTTCACCGCACGACAACGGCGGCGTTATTCTGTCGTAGATTCGCAGAAATTGCCCACAGCCGGTATCTGGACCGCCCCAGCGTTAGTTACGAGTCCTCTTCTTACATTTCCTAAACAATTTGGGCGATTCATTGCCGAGAGTTTTGCAGACAGCTCTTGGGATGCATAGCAACACCATTCTATGCCCACACACAGAAAAATATTGACACCGTTAGCGGTGTAATTGCACAGTACATATCTGAGCACTTGAGGAAAGTTAATTTAGTCCCTTCCCCGCTTAAATTACTCGCGCTTCCAAATGAACACCAGGAAGAAGGTAATAGAACACTGTTAGGAGGGTTGGGTGTTTTGCTACAAGTAGTAAAACACCCAACCCTCCTAACAGTGTTCTATTACCTTCTTCCTGGTGTTCATTTGGAAGCGCGAGTAATTTAAGCGGGGAAGGGACTAAATTAACTTTCCTCAAGTGCTCAGATATGTACTGTGCAATTACACCGCTAACGGTGTCAATATTTTTCTGTGTGCACTTCTGTTTGCTAATTCACGGCCGTAAGCAAAAACAGAATTGCAGCAAGATTTCTCGTTAGCTAAGCCTAAAATGATAATTGGATGAGCCTTCATTTCGGGCGCCGGATGAGTGATCATATCATCACGCTGACCATCTAAGGAAAAACGCACAAACGCAGGCGTTTTGGTGTCGTTAACTCGATATCGACTGACCATTTGTCAATAACGGAACAAACAGACCGCTGCCAGCCTATCACCAGGCAAAGGTCATCCCGCGTTATTTATTGCTCATGGCCCGCAGACAGAAGTTCCTGCATCACTCAACATTTTCCCAACATAAATTATCCCACATTGTTGTCATCAGAAAAGAACTTCATCTGACGTTGGCGACAAAACCGCTGTCTCTGCTATGAAACTAACTGAAAGGATGATTTAGCTAGACAGGAGCTTAGCCTGTCTCAGTCTTGCTGATAAAGTCTGAATATAGAATACTTTGATTAATAGCATGGTACATAAATAAACAACATTCTAATGTAATATGATGTCACTATTTTAAAACACAATGAGCCGTGCAAAAGGCTTGACAGCATACCAAAGAATAAACATGCACACAAACCTCATCACTCACTCTCTATCCATTTCCTTCTTTACCCCCACACCCACCGTCTCCAGTCTTCCCTACCCCCTCCTCCACCCACCGTTATCGACGAACAATTTGACGCTGTCGGGCGCTGCTCCGCGGGCGCGGCACGTGTAGACGCCAGAGTCGTCAGCGCCGACGGCAGCCAGCGTCAGCAGTGACGTGGTGTTGACGTCCCCGCGGTGCGTCTCCACCGTCAGCCGCGGCCCGTCGGCATCGGGCGTCAGCGGAGGCGGCGCCGGCGTCAGCGGCACGTCGTCCTTCAGCCAGGAAACCACCCGCACCGGGTACCGCGTCTGTCGACAGGGCAGGGGCGGGGCGGGTCAAATGGGGTCACATCGGCAAGGATATTAGGTCAGGTGGGTCAGCCCGGGTCAGATAGGGTCAAATTAGATATGGTAAGCTTGGTGAGGTTGGGTCATATCGGGTCAGATAAGGTCAAATCATCTAGGGTGTAGGTAGACTAGCTAGCTAGGTGAGGTAGACTTAGGTGAGGTCGGGTCAGGTCAGGCCAGATAGGGATGGGTCAGGCTAGGTCAGGTCGTATCGGACTGAGTGAACAGATTGGGCAGGCTCAAGTCGGGTTGGCGTTAGTGGGTAGGTATCTGCGGAGAAGGTGAGACCGGAGACGAGAGAAGCCAGGAAGTAAGAAGTGGCAGAAAGAGTAGGTCAGGGTTGAGGGCGGGACTGTAAAGAAATGAAAAAAGAGCATCAAAATAAATCAGGGTCTAAGGTTACTGTTTTAAGGTGAATATCACAATGTTTTCATGACATCACCCAGTTTCATTCGTATATTTAGTAACAGATTAACGATGATAACTATTTGTGTCGTTAATTAAATTATTAATTAATAATGCGAAAGACGCGATTAATTCAGCTGTATCAAACAGTTACTTACTTTGAAACTCATATGGGCTATAAACAGGGCTATTAATTCCTGAAATTAGGACAGTTACTGCTCATCACGGCTACTTTCATGGCAGGGTAACCCTTCGCTTTGAATAATGCATCAAAGCCCTATACATATTTCTGTATTCTAGCTGGACAGGTGGAAATAGCCATATATAATTAATTTTATCCATTAAAGCTGGGACAACACTCGAGAAGACAGTGAGGGAGTCTCCCGGTGTGTTTGTTAGTACGTACTTGTTGAGTGACGGGCTGAAAAGCGCTCAGTTTTACTACCTTTTCATTAACCTGTGTGTCTCTGTTCACAGCTGCGCTCAATGCCATAAATGTGACCATATAATCGGATGCCGTCATAAAGTTTTATTCGAAGTGTCAGTTAGACGGGCCACCGTCCAAATTGCCCATACGCCAAACTTGATGTTGCGGTGCAGTGCTGACAGCGAAATTATAAAATATATTAATAGATAACCCTGTTTTCTACCAGGAACAAAGTGCATATCTAAATACACAAAAGTACATAAAATGATCGCCATACCATTCAAAACATTGCAAAAGTTGCCCGTGTTATTGTTTGACATTCCTTGAATCGTTTTGGTCGACCAATACGTAAGCTTCGGACTGCAGTGTCCGACCATGCTTTGCATACCGAGGTAAGCCAAAGTTCCTCATTAAACCGTGCTCTCCAGTCCCATGAAAGTTATCTGAGCTCCTGTCCCGTGCCAGTCCCAGAGACGAGCTGCAAGGTCGGGCGAATGTCATGACACCGCGTCCGAGTCCGTCGTCCCATTGAGACCTGTTGAAAGGTCACCAGACCAGTTCTGCATTCCTGACTGTCGGCCGGTCAAACTGACTAACAAATCACGCGCCTGGACCGACGGGACGACCGGACGGGCCCAGAGACTCGCCGTTCATTTCCATGTTCGGTCATCGGTTTCCGTTCGCTCGCGCTCATAACCCTTCCGCTAAGTTTGTGTCCGTTTCAGTCGGACCAAGTGTCTCATTAAGCCTAGTTGCGAGGCCCTTCCAACTTCTCAAAACTCATCTGGGCACATCTGATTAATTACATGGTGGAGAAGGCTGGGGTGGACGTTCGGCTCTGGTGATGTTATATCCAAACTGACCTTTTGATGAAAGGGCGAGTACTTATAGCTAAACATAGATGCTGTTGGTTATTTGGAGCAAACTATTATAACTTCACAAGCAAAGGATTTCTCAAAATGTATTCATGCCAAGAACTATAAACCCAGGTTTCGTGGCTTTGTTCACAGACTCTGGGCCAGACAAACTCACGCGAGTTAGGTTGCGCCGCCATACGTCGGTGTACGGCGGGTCAGTCTACCTATTCAGTTAAAACGGCCTCCGAGAGGCTCGCGACTTATCGAGTATCACTGCGGTGTCGGGTCCTTTTTTTCACTGCAACAAAAATGATCTTGCAACATCTCTAACTGGAGCTTTCAATAGCCAGTAAAGAAAATAAATAAGGGTCAGGTTATATGTGCACTCTAATAAATCGTGCCTCTCCAGGTTGAGATAGATACGGAGTGAGTTAGCGTCAGCCCGTGGAGCGACAGGACAGGCTCGTTTGTTTCAAGCGCCATTTACCTCGTGGCCGCCATGTATCATCCGTGATTGTGGGGCATATCATGTCCAGCCCGAGCGGCGGTGGGCGGCCCACTTTACTCCATCGCTGATATAGCGCCCCGGTCCACGTAACGTAGCCGAGCGCGGGGGCGCGACGCTCCTGCCCCCGCGCGTGCTTCCCTGAACCATGATTAAATAACTGGTGCGGCGCCAGTTCGGAGCGGGGGCGGCACCGTCCTGGGCAGTAGAAGCCGTGTCGTTACGCTGCCACTGTCCGTTGTTACAGTCGCGCCGTTCGCTCGCTATGGCGGCGTGGACGACGCGGCGGGGGCGTAACGGCGACCCGCTGCACCGTGGGTGGCGCTGTTCGCAAAACTGGCACGGACCTGAGTCACTAGAACCTCAGAGACAATAAAGCTCAGTTCTTGGATGGCACAACGGTCCAAATAACCTTTAAGACAGTGAGGGGAGTACCCTTGACCGGTAAATGCGCATAAATGCGCACCTGCTCGTGTGCGTATAGCGCCGATTAAAACTAGTGCAGGTGTTCTAATATTTTCGGTTGACACATTATCCGAATGAGGTGGTGAAGTTGCGATATCGTCGGACTCGCATGTATGTATGCGACTATGCTTTTGTTCCTTGGTGAAGATGCTCCTGATGCATATTACGCCTTAGTAAGCGGTTGAACAATGCATTCTATCTAGCATTTCACGTTGTTTTGTTATTTAAAATTCAACTTGTGACACATCACGTCGCTGACGTCATGCTGTCCATCACGTTATTGAAGTGACGGACGTCACCGACGTCAGGCTGGCAGCGAAAGGTCCGGTCCCTCCCTTCCCAGTGACCTCTGGACCCCCAGTCAGAAGCTCGGTCCGACGCTGGCCACGGCCGGTCCACGCGCCGATACAAGGCCCCTGATTGGCTGTTAATGGGCGGCGATTTCGGCGCTGAATGAGGCAGCTTTGCAGCTACTGCGTCAGCGCCTATCAGCAGCCCACAGCCGGATAAAAGGAACAGCGTCACCATCACCGACACCATCGCCATCACCATTCACCAGCACCAGCAGCCCACAGCCGGAAAAGCAGCAACGCCACCATCACCAATATCATCACCAATCTCGGCAACAACACAAGCACCAACACCAGCGTCCCACAGCCAAAAGCAGTGCAGGTGAGAGCGGCAAGGCCTGGAATCTGGATGACATGACGGGAGTAGCAGCCGCTGACACGCGGGACGGTTATGATATTTCCCAGAGGAAATCGTTTGATCTCGTATATTAACGTTCAGGAAAGGGCTTCCCGCGCACACCTGTAAAACGAATTTCAATCATACTTGTACCCTACGAGTGATATCTTTGAAGAAATCGCTGCCTTGTAATCGTCGCTGTTCCTTTTGAAAGTCTGTGCTGAATCGTCGCGTCAAAGTCATGAATTCCTTCGAAATCGTTTACCTTTGAAATGGAGTGACTAAAACTCAAATAAACCGGCATCAAAGAGGCGAATTAAGTAAATGTACCTCAATAGGGCGGCCGGCGGTGGTTCGCATAGTGGCCCATTGACCTGAATGTCGCATATAATATAGTGTCGATGGCGGCGGCGGCGGCGGGCTCAAAGGCCGATATCCGACGGGCCGGGCCGGGCCGGCTGACCGTGACCGGGTAGCCGAGCTCCGCGAGAGTCGCGGCCGGGCCCAGGCCCGATTGATCAGCGAAGGAAGCCCGGCAGTACACACGGCACAAAGGACTGAAGTCACATTTGTGCACACGGCACAAAAGAGGAAGTCGTAGCTGTGCACACGGTACGAGAGATTAAGGCTGTAGCCGAGCACACGCCACAATAAGCCATTGCAGTGCACTTGGCAACTGACAGCAACTATAGAAGTGCACGCAGTAAAAGACCGCGTCTAATCTTTGGTGCCGAGTGGCTACGAGTTTACATTTTCCGTGGAGGGTTATTGCATTGCTAACTAAATTTATTTGCGGTAGAGTGCAGCTAGCAACTGAGGAAAACTACCACACATATCAGGGCCAGACAAATTTCGATGGCATCATAACAGTTTATACTTAAGTAACAAGACATAACTCATCTCATTTAGCTATGTTTAAGAGTTTTCAAACAATCGTATGCCATAGATTTCACCACAGCTATGTTTGACGTCAGTTTCATTTCGTCACCCCTTGCATCGTCTTCACTTCATTACTTAATCCACTACCCATTTCACAGTCTGCTGCCCTCATATGTCCCATGGAGTCCTCATAGACCACCACGCCCATGTCGTGAGTACTTTTAGTAGACGTTTTGAACGTGTAGGTCGTGGCGGCGGAGGCATACCAAATACCCCGGCGCCCCCGGAGGACCCGAGCGAATGATGAGTGTCGGGCCGGAGGCACCAACTCACCGAATGACGTCAGGCACGGTGTGACGTCATACTTCAAGTGACGTCAGCGGGGCGCGTGAAATGGTCAGGAATAACTGTCTGAACTGAACAACAGAGACAAGAAAGATATACATATGAGGAAGAATTAGAAAAAGAAAACAATTCTGCCTTTGATAATGAAATTACAGCGATGCGCCGTTAGCGTTGACACCATCTCCGAGAGATTTGAGGAGTAGTTGAAATGATTCGACACGACTGCCAAAATATTTCAGTTCAGCATAGTACAAACATAAATCAAAAGCAAACTATTCTGTTAATAATTAACAACATTTACCACCCACTGAAGTGTTGCGATGCGGGCTTGCGAGCAGTAAACGGTCGTTTGACACTGTTACATGAGTTTTACCGGGCCATTTGCGGTTTTATACGCGCGACTTCGACCGTAAGTGGGCCGTTTCTCCGGCAATCACGCCAGACAAACACATTAATAAATTAAACCAGTGGCGTCTCAGCTCGACGAAGAGAGAACGGCGCCGCCATCTCACAAACGGCGCCGCCTTCGATTGGCTCTCTGAGGATAGCGTCTCCTCTGAAGACTGCTCCTGTCATGAGCCCATTCCGTGGTTAACAGACAATTACCTTTCAATTATCGTTCAGTGGTGCCACTAATGGATTGTCTCCATGGATGAAAGCGCAACTGACAGGCCTTATCTTCGCTAAAACGACTGCCGATACGGGCATAATTGAATGGATTTTATTAAGAATTTAAATATATTACAAAATTGTTGTGATAAGGAATGGCATGAGACCAATTCGAGCTTCCTTATCATTGGAACACAAAACAGGTACTGTATCTCCTAGTAACTGCTGTTATTATTTAGGACTGGCACAGCAATCGGTCTTATCTTTAGAACTATGCTCTGACAGACTCCCAGCTTCTGGCTGTGACTTATCTGTAGGACTATACAGACTATATGTGTGAGTAGGTGCTGTGTTGTGATGACAGTATCTCGCATGTAGGACTACCATCTCAGTATCCCTTGCGACTGAAACCCCTCCAGAGGCTGACCGCTGAACGCCGCGCTGTGACTCGAGTCAACTGTGGGGGTCGCTGTGGTCAACTGTGAGGATCTTTGTATATGGGACCATGCTGACGATACGGACGCCGATACCGCCCGGCTGACCTCCACCGGTCGGTGTTCAAGGCCAACTGTGAGGGTCACACTGTGAGAGTCACTGTAAGAGTCACTATGAGGGAGTTGTGGTCAACTGAGAGTCACTGTGAGAGTCACTGTGAGGGTCACTAAGAGTCGTCACTGAGAGGGTCACTGTAAGAGTCACTGTGCGGGTCCATGTGAAGGTCAATGTGGCGATATACGGGCGCCGGCACCGCGGCCGGCTGACCTCCATCGGTCGGCGTTCACGGTCGATCCTATCGGCAATCGCAGCTGACCGAGGGCCCACACGGTCCGGCGGCCGCCGACCCGGGACTCGGGGTCAGCTGACCGAGGACCCAGACGGTGCGGCGGCCGCGGACCCGGCACTCGGGGTCAGCTGGAAGCGGTGGACCAGCTGTAACCAGCTCACCAGCTGCCAGTGCTAAATGCTCGGTACCGGACGGCCATGAGCATGCATTGTATGCAGACCGGAGGCGGGCGAAATTCATGGCTCAGCCAGTACCAGTTTCCGCCATGCATGGCAGCGCGACCCACACCGCATTCGTCTACAAGGTATCCAAAAGTGTCACATACCACATTACATAGTATATCGCCTCGCGGCACGGTGTTTATGCTATGTGGGTACCCGTTCTCCATGCAATGTTTTGCCTTATATGCCGTGTTCTGTCACCCTGCATAGTGTCGTCACAGTTTTTGTTTCCATCTGGTGTCGCCATGTGTCAGGTCATATACCGCCTGCCGCCGGCAGTAACGACTCCCTTGGCGCCCGACCAGACGGTATTCCGTTTCCCTCCAGAGCAGCTGACGCGGTCTACCTGTCTGCCACTCCCTCAGCTGCTGGGCTAGCCATGCTAGGTCATAGTGTCTGACACTGGAACAAACTCCCAGAGCTACGGACTCAGCCGAGTAGCACCTGCGCGTCGCTTTGTATGGAAATGGCGACATGTGCGGTGGGTGGGGAACACAAGAAGTGGTGGTGTGGAGGTGGTGGAGGTGAACGGTGCGCGGCATATGAGAGATTACGGAGAGGTTATGTGAATTTTCGTCGGGTGCATGGAATTGTAGGAAAGTGTTGCTGCTAACACGTAGGAGCTATTATAAAAACATGTTTTGATAAGAGCTCTTCCAAAATGTGACATTTTTATGAAGAAAACACACATATGTAGACAAAGTACTGAATATTCAGGCATGGAATAAGGATGATACATCATTTCACAGCTTGGCTAGTAGGTGAGTGAGAGGAACCCTGTGCGCTTCGCTCACTGTGTTGTTTATAAAACTTGCTTTCGAGTGTCGCTCGGTCACTGACGGAGGTCTCTCGGTCACTGACACGGGCCGCTCGCAGTTCCCCTCACCTCTATGACGGTGCAGTTGATGCTGAGGCTGCTACCGGGCACCATGTGGTACTGGCGGGTGCCGCTGATCAGAGCCCGCGGTCTCTTCACTCGCAGGTGGATGAAGGTGGAGAGCACCTGCTCACCGTCAGTCACCTGCGAGATAGTCACAAAGGTCAGCGGAGTCACACAGGTCACGGGGGTCACAAAGGTCAGCGAAGTCACACATGTCAGCGAGGTGAGGTCACACAGGTCAGCAAGTTCAGTCCTTGACGGCTTGAGTCATTAAAGTTGCAGCTTGCATAACTTATCAGTATCATATGAGAGACATTTCTTCTTTCTAGTAGGTCTAGGCCTTGCAGAGTTGATGGATCGATATCACTCTAGAACAGCATATGGTGCATCGTGGGATTAGTTTTGGGACACAAAAGCCTTTTCATGCTAGACAAGAGCTCAACAAAATATTTTCCTTCCTTTCATGTTAGAACTTCCCGTAAGAAGCAATATCAATTCCAGAAATAGCGCCATATTTGCAGCTACACAAGCTCACACTCATAGTTTTCTTCTCAGTTGCACTGTTAAAATGGTTCATGCTCTATGTGCCAGGCAGCACTTTTCATAACACTTTTCGCCAGATTTTGTCCAGAGTGACTGCGAGAATGAACGGCCAATAAAAGACACTCCGTGCTTTTGGCAGTGGACGGGGAAGGCTGAGCCTCGTCTTGACTGGTCCTCAATCAGGCCGGGTGGTGGTTGCTCGTGACTCCAGCTGAAGTGAAAACCGCTGTCCTTTCAGAACGCCTCGTGCTCCACATAAATCCACGTGACAGTTTGACAGAGAGGGATCTCTGAGCCTCCGTAATCCCTTTCAACACTTATGCATGACCAACAAGGTTGAATCCTCTTTATAATAAAAAGCAAACATTTGAACGGGGATAATGCATTTACCATAAACGATACGAACGCGAATTGCCTCACACCTTAGTCTAGTTCTTTTTTCAAATCTCATGAAACTGCGTGAGCACTGATCCTGCTTTAGCGACAGACTGGCACCATTTCTCCCGCTGAAGACACAGGCTTTGCCTCCAACCCTCCCCGGTCGCTGTTCTATCGCCGTCGTCTAGCCGCGCCGCCAGCACCGGTCGACCATGCTGAATTATCGAAATCGCCCGTTGGCTCCCGAGCTGCCAGCGGCGATCGACGCCGGCGGAGTTCACTCCCTGGAAACTGTCCAGCGGTGTCGGCGGTGTCGGCGCAGAAGAAGGCGGAGCTGGCACAGAACCCTGGGAAGGTGCGGCCGCCGCGGCTCCCGCGCCGCCGCCCCACGGTCATTTGTAACCACTCGGCATCCGTCTTGTCGCCTGAGGCGAAATAACCCGAGTCGGAAGGTCGACGGCGGCGACGGCGGGGAGAGAGCGTGGAAATACGACACCGGAGAGAGGAGGAAAAGGGAGGGAGAGAGAGAGGTGCGGGGAAGACTGGGGATTCTTCGAATTCTGTTCAGGATGCAGAATGCTCAAATATTCGTCTGAAAACTTTGTAGAAACCGAATAGGTAAGTACATAAAGAATAATACACTGCTTCAGTGGAATCATATGTAAAATATTAGACGCCATAATTACATGCGCCGTTCATTTTATGCTTCTCTTGCAAATATATAGTCTAGCTAAGGCCGTGGCTTATTTATAACTCTCTCAAGTCCCACACGATACAATTTGATCAATATCATCGGAACCACAGCCTGCTGAAGTCCACAGCATCGCATCCAATCTGGAGAAAATCGGCGAGTCTGGCGTGACCGTCTGGTTTCGTCTACCGCCTCTGATGTTGTCATCAGGGTTAATCCCGCCATCCGCGGCCAGTCTGGCGGCTGGTCTGGGCAGACTCGGCAGACGGCTGCAATCAGCCGGTCCCGACGCCCCTGGAGAGGGTCTCAGGGAGGTCTCAGAGAGGCCTCAGAAAGATCTCAGAGGTGCCTATGGCCTCAGAGAGGTCGGCGGATGCCTCAGGAAGTGACTGACCAGCAGCAGATCAATGACGCGTCCAACAGACACTACCGGTCACTACCAGAATGGAGAGACTGCGATGGAGAGATGGTGATGTGAATTGTGGAACGATGCATGCAAGTGCGCAAATCAAGGAGAGTGTGTGTGTGGTAACTAAGGGTCAATGAAGCGTGTGCACACATTAGCGAGTCTTCATAGACAGTCTTTAGTTGGCCACTGCTTACTGCCCAATGTGAGCCCAACAGCAAACAGGCGCAAGCTCAGGCAATGACCACCACTCCGATGACCTCTGGCAGGCCGATGGGTCCATCTTCTGCATCGCTGCATCTGCCTCTGAGTATCCTCGCTGAGTGCCGGGCATCAAACTTGGCGCGCTGTCAGAACCTATACCATATGGCCTGCGTGCGGCCACGGCCGGCCCACAGCGGACACAAAGTCGAGGCTGGGGCATGCGTCATTCGCTGCCACCCAGGCGTCCGTATATCAGGGAAAGGTGGAACTTTGTGGCCAAAGTGTCAGCCCTGTGGTGACGCATGAGGCGGCATGATTTTCCCGCTATCTTAATGGGTTGGGCGATCTGACGGCGATAGGAAGCGCTACAAAAAGTGGCTGAACTATACGAAACAATAGCAGTTTTCAAGACGGCTATCTGGTACACATTTGCTGCACATTAGATGCGAATTTGGTCAAATTGGGTGCAGATGCGGTCAAATTAGGTGCAAATTTGGCCAAATTAGGTTCATTGTGTTCCTTAGAAGTAATTAGTTTGACAGTTGCTTATGTGCTTGATTTTTCAAATTATCAGGGGCTGCTCAGTTCCATGGTCAGTTCCATGGGCTGCTCTCACTCGCTTTCTCTGTACCTGTTCAAATATACCACCGGTGGGAACCGGAATGATTATTTTCTACACACTGAAATAAATTCATGATGTGACGGTATACGTATGTTGTAAAAGAGATTTGGTGCCCATTTGGTCAAACGAGGTACTTACATTCGATAGAGTACCCGTCGTGAAAAATGCTGATACGAAATAGAGGTGTTTGGTATTGCAACAATACTTGTGTGGTATGTTTGAAATTGTTTTAACGGACTTTCACTGGGTAGTGGGTACAAGTTATTATTGGTCCCGGTACTCCGACTTGTATTGAAAAGTCTTCGATGGGGCACACGTCTTCGATACCACACATCGTCTTCGACGATGTGTGGTATGCTCATGACTGTATAGAGTCTGCATGAACCTTTTTAGATAATTTCAGGCCCTTACCCACAAAGGAACACGGACACCATATAAAGAACCACCGCAGACATGCATCATGGCAGTTTATGAAAAGCCTCGTCTCGGCCGGGCTGTGGCCGTATGGGACCCAGACACGCAGAGCACAGGCCACACGGACTACCGCGACTCTCGGAGTCCCCCCTCCCACTCCAGCCCCCCCCCCCCTAGTAGCGCGTGATGAGACACTCGGTCCGTGACCACCATACGATATGGGGAAGGCCGACGGTAGTGCCCTAGTACGCAAGCATCTACGCTTCGAATGACGGATTCCTTTTCTTGTGTGCAGCAGTGATGGTGTGATGTGATTGCTCAATGATTGTAAGTGCAATAATGCATGGGTGCTAAATGAGGTCAGTTTATTCGGTGCGAGCGTGGGCTTCAGCGTTGTATGCAATTCAGGCATCAGTGAGCTGTATCCTTTAATCAGGAGCATACAAATGCTTCATGAGCTTTATAGCACCAGCCACCAGCTTTCATGATCGAACCCGAGTAAATTTGTCGATTCCAAGTTCGAGCGCAACGATTTTGTGTCTCACTATATTGTTTTCCAATTAGAAGAGTGGCAATGCTATCGCATCGCCGCACCGAGGCCAGGGTTTGAAAGAAAAAGCAAACACGATAATGAAAAAAAGAAAGAAAAAACAGCACCGCACACATTACAAATATATAATGAAAGTATGATTATCCAAGTCATATTTGTGGGTGTGGAAATTCACCGTTTGATTCATGCCACATTACCGTAAGCTGGACTGTTGCTGCTGTATTATTCAGAGGTGGACCGGCACGGCGCCGAGGTAAGGGATCTGTTGGTCTTCTCGGAATGATAGATACACCCTGAATGCTGTGCCATCACTTTCCAGAAGATAGCGCTCCCAATATAGCCGGCCCACCAGAAAACCGAATGAATTTCCGAAACTCGGCTTGTGAATTGCTGCCATCTCAGCAGACAATTGAAATAGCTGAACAGCAATTGCCATACGTTGGTATTTATGCATTGCCAGTGATCACCTAGACATATGATATCATACCTTATTGCCGTACGCGTTTGATATAAATGAAGACGATAATTTACAAGCCCAGGATATCCGCTCGGCCGTTCTTATTCCCTGTGCGAACACAACCGGACGAGCAGCCACTGGCTGCTGAGCCGTAAGGAGGCGGTTAGTTGGTCATTTCATTAGTGAAAGACGTCCGATATGTCAGATTTAGTGGTCTCTGGTACCCATTTGACTGATTGAAAGGCGTTACTGGCGGACATCGGCAGGGCCGTTCCGTCTCGGACCGCTCACAACAAGGTATCTATTGCTTCCCGACAGCTCTTTCCTTGGCCGCTCTGCAGAAATTGACTGTCAAATCGCCACCGGCCGGACTTCAGAGAGTCTCCGAACCGTCAGTCTCTTACATAACCTAACTCCAGTCTCTGACAGGGCTCTCTAACGACTAACGTCAGTCTCTGACAGAACCAAATGCACTCGTCTTTGGTCCCGGACGAGAGTGAGCTTCCAGAGGCCTGTGCTAAAAAGGAACGCTGGGAGTGATCTGATGGACAGCACCTGTTCTCCGTTCTAGACTTCACAGCTTCATCACCTGTAAAAGACGACGCTGATGATGTATGGACCTGTAGGTTTCGTTTAGACCCTGGCTTGATGATGTCAGAACGTTCACAGCATGTTTTACCACGTGGAGTGGTTCCATGTCTGACGAAAGGCTTTAAAAAATCAACGACGCAATCTATAGAATATTAGCCTTAGGAATTATCAGATCACTACTATTTTAGCACTCATGCTGCCGACTTCCATGTGACGAAACAGCTTTCGATCATTACTCACGAATGTGCTACAGAAAATGTCTCTGAAATAGTGACATCTAGCACATTGTGTCTCAATGTACTCCGAATTTGGCAACACCATCACTCCGAAACGCTTCTTGCGGCGTACACTCGGGAATGTCATTCCTGATCGGCAGTTGGTGTCACGGTGAATTTTTCAGTACTCTCCGGTCCGAACCTCTGTTGGCAACTGTGCGAGCGTTACTAATGTACAGCGTTTGTTCTCAGAAGATGGAACAGCGAACGTTCGCGGAAAACAGCAGGCCCGGGTGCCTGGCAAATCCGGAAGAACAATGGTGTTTCATACGCAGTAAAAAGTCACAATGGCGGTGTAGCGTCGTTTCCAGGTGCAATGGATCTGCGGGGTTCTGTCCCTGGGCGTTACTGCAGTTGTGATAAAACGACATTTTGGTGACCTGACTTAATGACTAAAAGATTGGCATGATGTGCTGAGCTGAACAGTGACAATAAGTATGGTGAGTTGAGAAAAGTAGTTGATGGAATTTTACGTATGTATGTAGGCATTCATGTTTCCAGCTACTTTGGCTGCACGTAACTGCAGGCTGTTTGAAATAGACAAACACAATTCTAACAATTGTCTATTTCCAACATAAAAGCTTGCTGGAGTAAGATGAAAAGAATCTCACATACGCCTTAAAAGGTGCAACCTTTGAGTTTTGATGAATATGAATAACATCTTTGAGACTTCAAATGGCATGTTGATTTGCTCTGCAAAGTCGTAGCCTGACAGCTGGCCTGGCTCCGGGAGTGGAGGCCGGAGGGGCGGGCTGACAGGCCGGATCACTTCCAGAGACCGAGGGGGCCGTCCGGCGCGCCCCCGTCCAGAGATTGACACCGCCCGCCCCGTGAGGAGTTCCTGCGACCCGGGCGACCTCGGACCTCGACCCACACCGGGACGGCAACTACAGTACAATTGAGTCGTCGCTCGAAGCGGCTGCGACAGCGGAGAGGCGCAGGAAATTGGACGCCGACGCTCACTCGCGCTCCGGGCGATTCATGAGCCGCGCTCCGCGATTCAATTTGGACCGGTTCGGCCGGACCGAGAGGACTGCGAGCCAACAGAGGTGTCACTTCACGTGCGGACAGCGCGGCCAGTCGGTAAACGCTGGCAGGATCGGAGAGACACTCGGTCAACGCCAGTCACTTGACGAGTTCGTAAAACTTACTGTTGAACGGAGATAAAATCGTAGCCAAGACCGTCACACCTTGTCTTTTTAGAAGTACTAAACTCAGCCCAGAAGTCGAACTTACGACCATCTAGATTTCTACCATATAATGAAATGCATAGTTGTACGCGATGACATCGCGCCCCGGCGCCATTGGCGGCGATAGACACTCTGTTAATGGGGCGGCGCGTCGCCTCTGGGGATCTAGAATCATTGGCGCACCGGGCTAATGGTCGGTCACTGACACTAATATAGCATGTTTATGTAGCGCCTCGGCCGCCGGGAGGCGGGAGCCATCCTCTCCCGATGTAATTGGCCCCAGCGAGACGTTAGTGCGTTACTATACGCGCCTAAATCAGTTAAAACTGCACCATGCGGAAGCATAGAAGGAGGAGTGCAATGCTTAAAGTGCAAAGCGATTCCCGCTTCGTGTAAAATCTGTTGTATTCAGTGTTGAGTGTTAAAGCAGTGATCAGGAGGCTCAGGATGTTACTTATGAACTTCGTAAAACATCAGTACTAACCATAATTCAGATAAGTATAAAAGCTAAAATAGCAATTAAGATGCAATTCCCATTCATCTGTTACAGCAGTTTCACCTGGCTGCTCATCTTATCAGCCATGAATGCAGCTTTTCATGCATATTATGATAACCTGACGATGCATTGCACTGGAGGCTGCCACCATAAACACTAAACAAGTCAGTAATAGACCAGATTGGGCCGTGGTCATCCATTTTCCTGTCAGACCAGCGCATATGTATGCCGGCCGCGAGGGCAGGTACCTCGCCCCTTGCATATAAAGTGTGATGAGCTGGCATTAGGGGACAATGCTTACGGCGACGACGCGTCATCACATATGGATGGCACAATATGCGCCAGGAAACACGCAATATTGTATACAAATATTAATGGAGAGTTGCGCCGTTGAATATCGACAAGGTACGCACATTTGATTCACAGGAATAAATTTCGAAACAGCGTATCTGATAAAGCTGCCATAACAATTGCTGGAATATTTTTGCGAAGATGATTTTTTAAATATACAGATCAGTTAAATTGAAATTATTTTAAACCTAATATTTCAAGCATTACCTCCTTTTTGTTGCAATAGCTGACAGCTTTCCAAGTATCCAAGATGCGTTCAGAACTTCAGACATTCCTTTGTGCGACAATCACTTCAGATTGGCTCTTGGACATCTAAGGATTCATCCTATTGCTTGCGTGCTTCGTTTGAGTAAAAGACGAGCATTTCATTTCCTTTATTTTAATAGTGCTTTCAAGAATGAATTCCTCTGTTTCATCTACAATCAAATTAGAAGAATTAGTTTAGCCCAAATTAATGAAATTTGCAAGCTTAACTTTGAAATGAAAAACACGATCCCTGAAAATGCAGCACTTTGAGGGCTGAGCACAGCCTTACGACGAAAGAAAAAGGGTGGAAGGCTACATTCTCGCTTTGGGACTGCTAGAGCACTTTGTCATTGAGCAGTTTTAATTCCATTCCATTTTTTCCGATCAATGAAATATCACACTTTTGTACGATATGCGACAAAAATGTTGTTTATATTCTCATATTAACCATGATGTTTGCTCCAACATTTTATTATCTGTTTTAAGGCAGCGAAGCGTCAGCCTCGCCCGGGGTGCGTATCGCTTTCCTCGCCCCGCTAGTTTATCGCGTGACGGGGCAATTTCGTGTCTCGGCATTCCTGAAAATCTGACGACAGCGTCGCACGTCGCTGAAACTTTGCGCAGGGTAAAAATTTCACGGCGAGCGTCTCACACGCCGTCCTTATCACGTCACGGGCTCATAAAGCTGACAGCGACTGCCTTCCGCGCTATGAAGTTCCCTTCAGGCCGCGTCACCTCTGGCCCGTGGACGTCAGAACGGCGGACGGCGCGCAGCAGCAGCGCGGCACCGTGGACAGATTTCGGTCCGACCCGCCATTCACCCGCTGACAAAGCGCCAGTGAGAGCGCTGGAGGTATGCTGGCAGCCAGCCGCGACCGAGACGCCTGATAAAGCGTCTCGCGGCATGTGCCGCCATTTTGCAGGTCATTGCCTGCTCGATAACTTCATAAATCGGCCTCGGGAGCACCGCCGGGGCCTGTTCGATAGGGCACGCCTTGCGCGGACGGCCTGTTCAGACCGCTGCTAATGTAACGTTCCGTTTTGTACGGGTGGTGGCTCTCATTGGAGCTGGCGAGCCGGTATATGGCCGGACAGATTATGCGCCGCGGGCCGAAGCCGCCAGCTAATGCCCATTCCCGTAATCCAGGTGTTCTGTGTCGGTGGCTGAATAAGCCGCTCGGGTGTTGGCATTGTCACCGAGTCAACGACCCGCAGCCAGCCATTCCCCCTGGCAACGACCCGACCTGACCTCGAGCGGCCGGCTTTAGGGCCGCTCCGGGACCCTGCTGTCGGTCGGAGCCCGTGGCTGCTCTCCCTCCCTGCGCTCTTTTCTTCTATACCTGAACGTCCCCATGTTTTAGGTGTAGCCTATCGTTTAACCCCACACAGATCTTCCAAACTTTGACCATTCGGACTCTGAGGGACGCCCTGAACACTGACCTGACACTCGTAGCTGCCGGCGTCCGAGTACTGGACCGGTTTGATGTGCATGTTCCACTCGTCCGAGCCGCCTGGGTGGGTCACCTGGAACCTCTCGTCCTGGATGTAGAGCTGCAGGTTGGACGACAAAATGTGCCAGTCGCGCCGACGCAGCCAGGTGATCTGAAATGACAGTAAAGGTGTGCGATGTTCAACGTTTGTTCGCGGTTAAGACGCTTATGAGTAATTATTTGAGACATTTTTGATTGATCTAAAATGCTGCCTAGCTTTATTCTCGACCACAGCCACCGAAGAGTCTAAATTGCTACATGTAAAGAACAGTCTTGCCTCTTGCTAGAACGACAAGAGCACCCTCAGCCCGATTGCTGTTTAAGGATGCTGGTAAATGAGGCTTTCAGTAGCATTTCTTCACATTAATAATTAAGTGATGATCCATAAGCAAAGTCTTACACATTCCTTATCTGTATGAGCGCGGCAAATAGCTTCTGTAATAAGACCTTAGGTCGCAAAGGTAATGTTTGCGTAACAGAAATAATAGATGAAAGAGTGAAATCCAGTACATGTTGACTGCCATATGGATATTTGCCCGTGGTGGACAAAAATACAAGTAATTCTGGTTGATGACATCATAAGGGAATGTCAGTGAAACATATCCTCTGTCCTCAACATTGCCACGTCGACACGCGAGCTGGTGGCATACCGAACAGACAATCGGTACCTCGCCTCCTGTTTGGGGTTTCTGGCTGATTCAAACCACTGAAAGTGCACCCTTGGGGCCCAAATCCAATCCAGTTGTGGTGCGTTCGTCAGGGGTGCTAGTAATATTGATCTGCAGATTGGCTGCGGTTCCGTGATGCAAAAATGCATCGACCTCAACTTTGGGTAACTGTCTTCTTTGTTTGTTTGTTGTTTTGTTGGGTTAGGCCCTTTCGGTCGACAAGACCATTGCAGAGCCGGAAGGATGATAGGAATTAGGGGGAGACATTGGTCTGGGCAGGCACCCTAGTGAGTCGCCGGGGCTGAGCCCATCCAGAGGACAGGCCACCCAGCCCCAAGGCACTCACTGCAACCGGCTACGGGGTGCGCTCCCTCAGGAGCAGCGGTGCCGCTCCAAGGGAGCAGCCCGCATGAGATAAAGTTGCCTGTCCAGCCCGGAGGGGGGTTGCGGCTTGGAGGAGAAGGATTTCAGTATCTTGAGGATAGAAGCACGGATAGGTGAACTGTCTTCGTACCACAACTGTTACATACATAGTTGCTTGAGGGATTGAGGTACGCATAGTTTTGCCAAAACTACATACAGCTTAATTGCTTCAACCCGAAAACATTCTTATTCCGACTAAGGTCAATCTCAAAAAGTTGTGCCGTGAAATGTTTCATATCCTTAATTACTTATTGACATGTGTTTGCATATCTAAACAAGGACATCAGGAAGGCCATGTGACCTCCGTGCTACAATTTTGAATTAACAGCAACGGAAAATATCACAGCGACTAACTTCATTTCACAGTCAACAGCGCACATGCTGATAAGTTGGCTTCACTTAAATTTTAATGAGCAAACATTGCTCATTATAAAACTTGCGAGACATAAGCAACGCTCCGAAGCACAAACAGATAATAAATGAGTTTCAAAGAATTTAGGGATATCCCTCTTCCCTCTCTCTCTCTCTCTCTCTCTCTCTCTCTCTCTCTCTCTCTCTCTCTCTCTCTCTCTCTCTCTCTCTCTCCCTCTCGCTCTTTATCTGTGTGTCCCCAGCCAATTCGGATGATTGCAGCCGGCACCGTAATACTCCTGTGCTAATGAATTACATTAGCCCATTATGTGTTGCTATAGGCTCTGGGTCGAGGTTATTGTGGTCAGCCTGCCTCGCTGCCGAGGTCACACCGCAGTGGTATGCTATTCGGTGACCTCAGCGGCCCGCGGCCTGTGTGTCGCAGCTGATCTCGAAAGGTCAGGTCACCAGAGGGTACACAATGCACAGCTCCCGGCGGAGAGAATGTAATAGGTAAGAGGCCGCAGTCAACAGAACAGTCAACAGTCACAGTCAGCAGAACCAGTGACGACTGACTGCAGACTGAGGTGACTCGGCACAAACTCGTTTTATTTGATGGTGGACACACCACTTCGCTGACTTTGATGGCGTCGCCTTTATCCACAGGTGCGCCAGAATGATCACCGGTGCGTCAATATGGCCGCTGTTTGGAGAAGTGACGAGATGAATGTTTGGACGACTTGCCGGGTGATGTTGACATAAGACGACGCCTTTCGAAACGCAGAAAGCCATCTTTCTGTATTTTATTGCTACACAGTTGTTACTGAAGATGAGAAAATATAACTTTAAACTTATCATGTTTTTCTGTTGTTGAGGTATTTTATTAAGACCACAGCGTTAAACGAATCGTTAAAATCTTCTAGAGCCCGTGAATGGTAATGAGATGCAAGTGATTCCGTTTTTAGGATGGTTTTAAACTTGCCACGCAAATTAAGGGGAGCGCACTAAGCTGAGATGAACGTGTCACAGCCCACTCGGCTCTTATTAAACTGTCAGACAAATTTCATACCGTGGTGTGGAACGGGTAATGTCGGGACTTGGGTAATGTAAACTTTGACTGTTGCAGGTTGTGGTGAGGTTGTCGTGCTAACGCTTGGCCCTGCTATGGACATCTCCACCCTAGCATTGCAATACGAATGAAAACAGCAATAAGTTATCTTCTTAAGATATAATTGTAAAGCTTATCAACAAATAGCGTGCAATTACTCTCCATTCTGACGGGATGTAGTAATTTGTGCATGTAGAAGTCCGTCGCAATCATTTCAATCAAAATATCGCGTTTTCTGGCTACCTGAGACTCTCAGTTCGTGAAACTGTTTATTATTCAAGCAATGAATACCACTTCATTAAGTTTAGCTAACACACATTCAGAATTGCTGTTGGCATTCTGTTTAATCCTAATGACCTTCCATCCCTTTTGAACTAAGCCACAATGTGTTGGCCATGTTAGGCTGATCTTTAAGAGTCGTATTCATCACAATAACAGCGAACTTTGACTAAAGTGATTGACATGAGTTTTGATCAGTGCCTCTTGTAGCCTCTGGCTTCGATCAGCATGAGCTATCATGAGCGTTTACCCTGACCTATCTGAACTCTAAATATTTCAAATGCCTATGTTTCCTGGATACTGTCGCAAACGTAAGCTTTATCTGGCTCACATATAACAAAGCCGTTGACCCCGTGGTGGACATTCCAATAGGGTTCGCTCACCCGCGAGGGCCATCCATCCCCAGCTGTAGGATTAGGACATTTAGAAGTCGTTTGGCGTCCAATGACACGGCGTTAGGGCGGGCACCGGCAGCCACCAGCGGGCCAGCGCGGCGGCGGAGCCAGGGACACCGGCTATGGTGGCGTCAGATTGGTCGGTACATCGGTCGGTGACGGCCAGGGCCGGCCCGCGGTCACTGTTCCGGCAGCACCCACTGACCGGAACATTGGCAGCGGTCAGAGGGGCAGCGCGTGCATCACTCCTGGGTGTCGTGCTGTGCCAAACTCCGGTAACCAACGGACAGACGACCGGATTCAGAGCTTCCGACATTTCGGAATTCCGTATGCACAAAAGTATCTTTCCTGGATTCCTGAAGCCCTGCATTGGACTCGTGTACTTCGTGCAATCGACCGTCCGGAAGTCGCCTTCCCCTAGGGAGGCACATTCGGCACACGGAGGTCGCGGCAACCAAATGATATTGGTGTACCGCTTCAGTAAATTGTGTAGCGGCTTTCCAATGAATAAATTGAACGTCGCTGTCGTCAAGCTTTCATTGCGCTGTGGTCTGATAGTTTGCTGTGTCTCGCTGCAACTTTGAAATCAACAGGACGATCGCGGTTTTGTGGGAGGTGTAAAGTACTGTTGACCATTTGAGTGATGAGGTTGGCATTTATTGATTGATGCTGGAAATCACACTATCGAAATTCGAAACAGTATGCGACCATATTTTTAATCCCGATCAATACTCATGTAAGATTCAGACGCTGTGAATTTGATGGTTTCCAGCCGCCTCATGCGGCTTTGCTGTACACAACTCTGCAAAAGTTGCGCATGCTACTTAAATTCATTCTGATGTAAGTGACGTCCTGCGGCATGACTGCCTGATTCTAATTAAAGTACCATTAAGTGCATCAAACCTAGCTATCGTGATGCAGCTTGATTAAGCGGAGACTCTCCATTTATGTGCCTTGGTATTAATCATTGCATGCATTTGCATTACATTACTATTTAGTTTAATCACTGGTAGACCTATGAAAATATAAAGATAGGACTCATACCGGTGTTTATGGCATTGACTGTACCATTGCGACATAAGTACCTTAATTTTATTTACTTTATATCGAGAGACACATCCGCAACATGTAACTAGTGGCTATTACGTGCATTGAGTATGGAGAAATTACTGTCCTCAAACTTTGACTTTGACTTTAACCATCATCCTCCCGGTCGGATGGTCTCACCTTCCTGCCGGCGGGCTCCTTCAGCCGACACCTGAGCACCGCCTCGTCGCCCTCCAACACGGTCGTGTTGTAGTTGTTGCCGCCCGGTATCGGCTCGTACGAGTAGTGCGCGTGGTGGTGGTACACCCCGTACCCGTGAGAATGACCTGGAACACACGGAGAGAGAGGGTGGATAGGCTGAGACAGCGGCCTGGGTCAGAAGGGTAACATTCAATTTCTCTTCTTAGCAGGGCACCCGGCACACAATGATGTAAAATATTTAAAATTCGTGTTGCACACAATATCCGTAACCTTTTTACGCTGCTGTTTCAAAAATCTGCGTGTCTTGTTTTACCACCAAACACGTTCGTTTCCTTCCATCCAGCTCTTCCCGCTGGCTTTATCCAAGCGTAAGCTTTTCACTGCGTACTTTCACAATCCTCAGCAAAAACCTTATCCCGCTTCATTTCGGTGGTCTTTGGCGTGTCGAGTCGCCCGTTAGTGGCCATTTTTCGCTCATCAGCCTCCGAGCCGCAATAATGGTGCTGAGACAGTGTCACAAATTATCCAGATTTCGTGTCATTTTCCGTCCGAGCCGCTGGGACTTCGCTGAGCGCGGCCGGGACGCTGATTCTGCTGACGGGGTCTGACTCACAGAGGCGTAAACTACTCAGCTCATGAATAAGGTATCAACTGCGTCTAAGTAACGCACATAAAGAGTGACCGAGTGGGAACAAACAGCCCGGAACGGGAGGAGAGGGAGTAAAAGAAGAGAGATAAATAGAAAGAGAGAGAGAGAGAGAGAGAGAGAGAGAGAGTGAGAGAGAGAGAGAGAGAGAGAGAGAGAGAGAGAGAGAGAGAGAGAGAGAGAGAGAGAGAGAGAGAGAGAGAGAGAGAGAGAGAGAGAGAGAGAGAGAGAGAGAGAGAGAGAGAGAGAGAGCAGCGTAGTTACCGAGCTAGCCAGGAACACGAGGAGCGACAGCCCAATGAATGAAACGATCGAGAGATAGGGAGAAACGAAATAAATAAGACAATACAAAGATGAGGATGAACTGGTGGACAGTGTGCAGCAGATAAAAGACGGTGGGCGGTGGACGACACATAAGCCCGTCCCACCGATCGAGCCGCGCCTCCCGTATCCCATCAGCGTCCGCCTCCATAACCGGCGGCGAGTGTGGACGTCGTTGATAGAGCGATGGCACCCTTTCGCTAGATTGCCCTCCACTACTGGCCCCGCCACCCCTCCCTTCCCGCGCCGCCCGCCGCCACCGCGCCGTTTCCGTCTCGTTTCACACACGCGCCGCCGCCATGCAGCTGAACTACCCTTCCCCTGGGCCCGACGGCTCGCTCCACTAATAATGACCGCCCCGGGGACGGCCGAAAGTCGATAGAAGGGCACGCCACTCTGCACGGTCTCACCGGAGAATGGCGGGATCGAGGAGGAAAAACAGCGATAAGTGAGGAGACGGTGGTGTGTTGACACGATCGGCGGTGTTCCGCCAATGTAAACAGGTTGGTCACAGAGCTGTCTTGTCAGCCGGGGGCCAATCGGAACACTCCGCTCGACTCGTTGGGTCAGACTCGGAGACGGGCGAATTTAGGCAGTTTTTGTGAAACTTTTACCGAGCAGCTTTTGGCTGACTAGCCCTCGCCCGCACATGGGGGGGGGGTTGCCACCCCCCCCAGGTAGTCTTTCTGCTCTGCACTCAACATTTTTAGAGCTAGAAGGCTGATTTTTTGTATAGCTGCTCCTCTATCCTTTCTTGATCTCCACTGAAAATGTCAAGTTTCTGTGGTTTGTGGTTTCGGAGATATGACCTTGTTTTTGAGGTCATGTCATGACCCAAATGGTCAATTCTCAACATCTTGCGTTGGCTATGGGCCTTGTGAGCTTTTGACACCTTGATTTCGGCCTTTTTGGCCAGTCTTACCTCCCACCTATCATGGAACATGTTGTTCGACGATGTACAGATGTCAAGGTCAAGGTCAAGGTCAACCTAGGTCATCTAAGATAATTGCGTTTTAGGCAAGCGGAATTTACTTTTTGTGAAGTTTTTTGACTGCATTTTTGGTAAAAGCTTCTCAGATCATGATTTCATGTAATATGGACACATAAACAATCGGTGTACACATCAGTATACACACAGACACACACAGACATACAAACACATATAATTGACCTTGACCTAACTTGACCTGAAATGACCTCAGCAGCAAAAACCTGGTCGCGTAGTGTGACAAAGAGGTTCTAGCTGGCTTGGCACCAGAAAACGGCATCGTCATCGGTATATGATAAACAGCGCACTTGATATCCAACGGTGACCCAAAACAGCAACATTTTTTAGTTTGACCTGACCTGGAAGGTCAATGACTGACCTGAGAAGGTAAAACTGGGTATCATTGGGTTCGTCTCTTCCCAAAGAATCTTTTTGGTCTTTACCGCTAAGCTCTATCTCCAACAGGAACGAAATGCCGCGGGGGGGGGTGGCAACCCCCCCCCCCCCCATGTGCGTTCTAGGATGGGAAAATGGGATGTGCGGGCGAGGGCTAGAGAAAATGCCTGCAGGTAAAATATTCTGGCGTTGGGTACCTAGCTATGCTAGCCAGAATCATGCGGCGTCTGTAAGTAATGAACACCGTTATTGGCTTCCCACATTGTTTATACCAAGCCACAGCTGCGGTGTTATAACCGCTTTGGCCTACTAATTAAAGGAAAGGTCTGCCTATATTTGAATTAATTATTTCTCTAGAGTGCTTTGAATGCTAACATTGTCAAATGTGCATTGTGATCAGCATCAATGCAACCAGCAACGTTGCAGCCTAATAACCATGTTTTCCGCAAAATGAAGCGCTTCCTAATTAATGGCAAAATCAACGACACCTAAGCATGCAATAGACTTATTGCGGCCCATAGGCGAATGCCAGTTACACGAGCTCAGCAAAACGTTTTTATTTTTCTGTATTTACAAAGATTCACAATTCATTCGTTGTGCGCATCCCGTTTTTGCTTCTTAAGTCTGCCAAGTTCCAACTAATGAAGTTACAACATAGGATATTTCCCATTTCTCTTTATATTCCATTTCCATTCCCCACATTTCCCAAGCAGAGAAACGGAGAATAAAAGATGATGGACTTACATAACAATGTAAGCCCTTCACCGTCTACGACATTCACATCTTGACCTGTCATATCAGTTAGATCAGTCAACTGTGTAAAACACAAATAATTTAATTTGATTACATCACCGCAATGGAAAAGTATCACTAAAAAATACATCCACGTTTCCCTTCCACCGCCACCCACAAAACCGTCACATGCCAATGGCCGCCACTTTCCACCTAACTCCGCGCCTACAGAGTCAGCTCACGTCCCTCAAATTTGGCTGATGATGCAGTCAGTCGCGGCGGACATTCGCTGAATGACCGGCGAGCAACAGTCATTCGTTTGACTGGCCGCGGTCTGATGAACTAGAAACGTATGGATGGTCTCCCATCGACCGCGACTCACTGGGATAGAGCTGCTCATAGCGCCTTTGACGGTGGGTTTGACCGAACGAGGATGTGGTGAATTTCTTCATGTGATGACGCGTTGTGTGCAAGAATGCAAGTGATCAGTGATTAAAGAACGCATTATTCTACATCCAAGTCGAATAGCGATTATCTGTCATGTATTTCTGATAATTTATCGCCATAATTTAAAATAACTGAGACCATTTCACTTCAGTATTAAGCCATGATTTACATAAAAATTAACAGCCCTGGCGAAGTGCTGAGGCGGCCGGCTCAGTTCCGTCATCGCCTGATGTCTGCCGGTCAGCAGCTATATATCGGAGCGGGCCCATATAGCGGCGCGGCCCGGAGACGGGTCGCCGCGGTCGCAGCTGGCCGATCCGTTGGACGCTATCGCCGCCTCCCGACACGGTCACCAATCAAACGGCCGCAATCCGGGCCCGATGGAACGGCGCGTTCAATAACACACGCTCCCAGACGGTGTTGTCTCCGGGTGGGAGGGGGCAGGTCTCTGAGCAGGTCAGAGACGAACGCCACGGCCGGGTCATTTTGTCTCGGTCCTTGCCAGACTGACTGACGTGGTCGGCGCGGGACGAGAGAGACGAGCTGTTGCAGCCGGCTTATCGGGGCAGCAGTGGAGTTGTGACAGCTCGGGGTTTGGCTTTACAGCCTACTGACAGTGCCGCTCTCGCCCAGCCGGCCGCACTTGGCGCGGATCGTATCGGACAGCCGGCCAAAACCCACGCAACTGAGGGACCGTATCGGACAGCCGACCGCACTATACCCACGCAACTGGGGTGTCGTGGGGCTTCTGAAGGCGCTGTAGTGATGACTTGGCTGGGGACGCATGAGAGTGGATACTGGATAGAAATGGATGTTAAGGTTACGTAGCTATATTTTCTCGATTCTCCGGCCTCTCAAGGTCATGTTTGCCTAAATTCATTTTGAGCAGCGGCTAGCAGATGCTACGTCAGCATCAGAATCACCTCTGTTGCTTTTATACGCGATGATAAATGACAATATTTTCATTTGACGTATTCCCTTTAAAAAAACCTTCAGTACTGTTACTTCTTTAGCATTCCAAATTTATCCCAAAAAATAAATGTGTACTGCGTAGTGTGCAGCACCGAAGCTGTAGCGAGAAGTTTCGTTTGTGGCGGTCGTCAGAGGTTAGACTGTGTCGCAATACACAACTGTACTCCGGTACAGCCTACGCTCCAGGTAACCAAGCACAAGCCATCAGCTCTGAGCCAGCGCCGTTATACGCTTTGAAAAGCGCTGCTCCCAGAAAAAAAGATGCAGTATTTTCATGTTACAAGGTGTAAAACGAAATGAAAAGAACACCAGTTGGAAGGTATTGTCAAGGAATGAAGCATGAAATGAAGATGTGAATGTCTTTTGTATCCTATTGTTAAGCTATTGGCATGTAACTGAATAAATGGCTAGCGATCTTTTGAACATCACTACGTTAACCCGCGCCCGGCTGGGGGTCCTGGATTTCCACGCCCTGCTGGGGGGGGGGGGGTGTTTGAACACCCCCCTTCTAACTCGGCTCCTGGGCCACGTAGCGATACGCGGAAGGCGGCGTTCGAAAGAGCGTCAAAAATAATGAGGAAATCACTTCGGTCAATTTTTTGGTCAGGTCAAAGGTCAGGTCACCAGAGGTCATTGAAGGCAAATTTTCGCCGATTTCCAGGTCGAATGTCGAACATTTCCAAGAAGCCAACGCATAACTCGGGAACCAATAGAGCTACAGCGCCGCGGAAAAGCGCATTCGATAGCCCTATTAACGCCCTTTCTGAGTAATTTTCTCAGATTTGACCTAACGTCAACGGTTTTGCCTGCAGGGGGCAAAAACTGCAAAAATAGCCGATTTTTTCGGAAACAGTTTTTCTGCAATAACTTTTGACCCAAGCATTGTACGAGCTTACTTTTACCGGCATCGTGTTCCTCTCGTCAAGACGCATCGAACGAACTATAATTTGACCTTGAAAGGTCAACTTGAAAATTTGACCTCAGGTCAAGGTCATGACCTGACCGGAAAGGGTCATGTTGCATATCAGTCGATCCGTATCGTCGAGCTGAACACATCTAAGGCGTTTTCATCGCTCTAGCATGCCTCTATCAAAAGTTATTTGCGAAAAACTGTTAGATACCATTCGTGACCTAAGATGACCTCAGGGCATAAACAGGGGTCACAGACACCATTTTCATGTTCAGTGTGTCTAAACCACTTGTAATTCAGTGTTTGGGAGTGTTTATAATGTCTTTCGTCCAAAACAGGCGCATTTCAATTTTCTTCCATTGACTTATAATGGTGAGGTCGCAAAATTGACCTGACCTTAGGTCATCGATATCAAAATTCTGAGATATACATTTTGTACATGCTAATGCTCTTAGCAATCGCTGAAAGTTTCAAAGCGATCGGTCACTCGGTGTAGCTATGACAGACATTGAAACTTTTTATGAGGTGAGGTCACTTCGAGTGACCTGGTGACCTGACCTTGAATGACCTTGGTCTGAAATTTTCACAACATGTGTAGAATTGATGTATGATAAGGTGTACCAAAAACGGCGGCGCTCCGCGCCGCCGTTTTTGAGATATTCGCGAAAAACCACAGGGGGGGGTGTTCAAACACCCCCCCCCAGCAGGGCGCGGGTTAAGCTAATTGCACCCACCATAATTAACATTATACGATGACATGACAACATCCAAAAACTGCTTACAGCACTTCACTTTATTTGGAAGTGTAATATCATTCATTAATGTTCTGCACAAGTGAATATACTTATCTTGTTTTTACGCCAATCCGCGATTTTTCTCCGATGCTGCTCTTGTCCTTGTTACCATACATGCTGAAATGAACTGAACTGAATTTAAAGATTTGGCTTTATTCGTGATTATCGACTCTCAGCATCTACATACATATATCATTATGACATGTTTTCCAACACCCGAGTCCCCTTTGCAACACTATATCAGCCTGTCCCCCAGGCCCCAGCAAGAGTGCACCTATAATTTAATGGTGGTCATTGGCCATACAATATAGTTATGTTGATGCTTAACAACGACAGTTATCGCTTGAGACTTTCAGACCCTCTCAACCATCCTATAATTGAGCAGCTTAAACGTTCAATGAATTATCCCCCTGCCACATTGAGCTTGCAAAAGTTGGACATTTTGAGCCATCTTTTCATAATTCTACGCTATAAGCTTGCATTCTGTAGGCCATTGCTTCATATCTAACAAAGGTATGCGCTGCAAATCGTAAGTCTTTGCTCGTTAGTGATTTTGGCATCTTGCTGTGTCTTTTAGTAATTGCTTGTCTGAAATACTGTTGCTACAAAAAGATGCACACATTTCTGGAACCAACAGTTAAACATCGATTCAATGTGTGAAAAGGTAGTATCAAATCTCCTAAGAAAGCTAAAGGTGCCCCTCATTCTTATCTTTGCTGCACACACAAATACTTGAACGAAAGAAAGCTGCGCAACATTCGAAAAGCAGTCCGGTGACCGGGATTTCGTAAGTGCCAAACCTGCTCCTGCGAGCTGCGATAAAGCTCACTGATTCCTCGGCGCTCTCGGCTCACCAATAACAGCCGTGGGAGCTATGTAAGTTACAAGTGCTGTGTCCTCTGGCGTTTCGGGACTATATCCGAACCAACCAGTGAAGTGGCAGAAGCGCATTCGAAACGTTCACGCTACAGAGAATTCGGATTGAGGCATTAATCGCGCCAGTAAACAGCAAACACATTATTTGCTGTGATGCAGTCCTAGAACACCTCTCAGCGTCTTGTGATACATAGGGTTGTGTATCACCTTTGAATAATAAGTGTTGTTCATTATGCTGAGTCACGGCAAGCACATTACACAGTGCAGTCAAAGCTTATCGTAAACTGTAATAAATTGTAAAGTCATTAGCAACAAAGCTCTTAGCTTATATGCAAGTCAAGTATTGATCACATATTCAACAACGTCGCTTGTTTCAAACACAAAACTGGAGCATTGTGTTTTCATATTCAAAACATCCATCATATCACAGGAGGTATAAATAAGATTAAAATGGCACTCTTACCGAGTTCACTGTCGCCGGCCATGAAGAGTGAGGCAGACAAACAGACAGTCAGCAGCCAGCTCATTGTGACCCTGCAAGAAAAAATGGACTCTGGTGAACATTTTGGCATATCTTTGCTGATTGAACAAACTTTGGGTGAATTTGCCAGGCTCAAAGAACAGACCAAAAATGGTCTTCATACGTGAAGTAGGTTGTAATCGTTTAGAGCGGGTCATTGTTTCTGCAGGCGGATAAGAGTTCCGGGCCGAGTCCTGGTGGCGGCGGTGGGACCAGTGCACGTCGACTGTACCCGTGTGACGCCCCTGCACGTGCCGCCGCGTGCACCTGGTCCCGGGGCGGGGCCGTCAATCGCGCCGACCCGAAGCCGGCGCCGTCGTCGCCAGTTGGGCCATTAACTCGGCGTCGACGACTATATCACGAATTACGAGCCGGCGGTCGGCAGTAAAGCCGACCTCTTGCTACCATCGCTCCGGTTCCGAATATGCACCGGCCGCCGCGGTCGCCGGCCGCAGCGTTTTATGCGGGTCGCTGAGGGGATCGTCGGGCTCGGCGTTCACCAAATGTAAAACGCGCCATGTGATGTTACTCCCCAGTGACCCTGAGAGTGAGGAGTCGTCAATCGACCATGAAAGTGTGACGACGAGTCTGGCTAACGAAAGGGCTGCGTCGGAATTTATCTCACCTGCTGGCAGCAGACCAGAAAGTTTGGCAGATTTAGAAAATTATTCGGTCCGAAGCTGTTTGGAGGTCGCTAATCTGGGAGCCGAGAAGAGTCGCTCACCAACAGGGAGCTGAGAGCCCCTGTCTGGCACCCGACCAACGCAGAGGATTACGGTGCCGAAATGAACGTCTTAGCTGCACTAAGCCCTTGTTTCAAATAGACACAACCAATTATCTAGTGTCCTGTTTGGGAGCCAGTGGCGGCGCACCGGTCGGTAGGGTCCGTTTGGGAGCTCCTCTCTGGATCTCAAGTCGGACTGGGGTGCCCCCGGGACAGAAAGTTAGGACATTGATCGGGATGGCGGCATATCGAAGCCCTGGAGGAAATCGTGGAAGCGTCCGTGGGCCGGCACGGGTCATTTCTGGTCGAGTTTGACGGCTCATGGTCCTGGTGCGGTGCTGCAGGTCACCTCACGGGGACGCTGGGGCGGTGGAAATGATTGGAAGATGGACTTTATTACCACTTTGACCGATTGACTGCAAAGCGAAAAATAAGGCACTAATCCAATGTTGATTGTATACGAACGTTTGGCCGTTTAAAAATCGTCATCAATTTCTGAACATAACGTAGCATTGCGCAAAAGGAAGCAATAAGAGCAAAAACGCATTCAAGTTGACATGCGAGAAGTGTAGCTGTGATGGCCGTTCAAGCTATGTTTGTAGAAACATGTAGTTCAAGCTATGTAGTACAAACACTGAATAATTCATATCACTGTCAAGTGTCAACAGCTTTGAGTTGAAAAACTTCATGCTGGATATTCAATAGTGCTCGCTTTACGAAGCAATAAGGTAAGATTCTGATCACAGCTGCCTGATAGGGATTTCTAGCCGGACAGTTTCCAGACAGCCATCCCCCCGGCAGCGGCCGGGGTCACAGCTGCACAGCCATCGTCCCAGATGGGACACCACTAGATTGATATACCCCGGTCATTTGTTTTGCTGGATCTCGATGACCCAAGAGAAAACACAACAGCCGTTTCAACTCGTCCTGAACTTTGCAAGTATGGAATATATGAACCATTTCAAACTTTAACTTTATTAAATTGCGCAGTGTATCTCTCAATGATCGACACTGTCGCCTATTTGCCTGACTGCGACACCCCATGCAGTCGCACCTGAGCTCCTGATAACATCATCGTACAGCTCCTTTCCTCTGCGTGGCGATACCGCACCTCCCTCCTCCCTCTATCCCTTTCTGCCCTACCTAAACCCCCATTTCCCCAGCTCTATAGATACGAATTCGGGTGCCGTCTGCGTCTGCAGCCACACCCGCAGCGTGGACTGTTGTCCCCCGAGCGGCGCGGCCGGACAGACCAGCGACCATTACCTTCTCTGGCCGGAGCGACACACTCAGAAATAGATTGGCTGCTCGGTGGCCGGCGCAAAACAGCGCCGCCGAGAGACCGTCGTTCTCTGCCGCCGGCGCGCTGACCGATCTAGCGATGCGGACCGACCCACTTAGGAGCGGTCGTGACGGTTTTGTGCCGCGCCTTTGAGCGCCAGAGAGTCGGCCTCCAAGCAAATACATTACCTGATGACGGCAGTGCTGAATGGCATGGTGGAGTCAAAAGAGAATGAAAAAGGTTTTGCTGTAAGGCTTAGTGTGCTCATAGGCCCTCGCACCGAAAAATGATCAAGTGCGTCTGGCGCTTTTCATTATGAAACGGGAAGTGACCTGCGGTTGTTTTTGTGAATAGGGTCTTACGAGTATCGTATAGTTTTCTGCGTAACCTATGGGTACCTGAATTTGCTTTGAATTATGTCAAACTCAACTCTTGCAATAGGACGCATTGATTACATACCTTATATGCATATGAATCAGCTAATTTCACCCGGGTTATAGAAATCACATGCGATGTGAGTTCAAATGACATCAGGGCACTCAAACGCTGGCAGTTTACAGCCGGTATAAACATCGCGATTATTAGCTACACGCACTACTTTGACAGTATGTACGGCCGAGCCCTGCGACAGAGCTGCTAATACCAATGCTTTTGCTCAATTGTTAAATGCATCGCCGCAGCTGTGCTGTACTCTGCGTTTCAACATTGATTGCGCTGCAAGAAATATGATTACAGGCATGGACCCACTTGGCCACATTGCCATGTGGCTTACCGCTCCACGGCTGCCTCCGCACGACGTAATAAACGAATCGACCAGCCCAACGGTATGCATGCTCAACACACATCAGTGACCATCCACTTCGCGATAGCCGCCTTCGCGCGTGCTCCTAATCCAATTTGGACCACTCTTACACTTGCCACAGAACTAATCAAAGCAGTTGGGGGGTCTTCACGTCAATGCAACTCAGCTACCTTGAGATGAGTTATCATTGTAAATGGGCCGCATTAAATAAATTTTGTTAGAATTTCAGTCACTTAAATCGTCGACCGTCCATCGGCCATCATTCGTCGTCCACCGTTTACTGCTTCTTATTTCGCACGAATTCCTGCCTAACAACAATGGTAGTGTGAACCGAAATCACCTGTGACTGGCGAGGCATTTGCAGTGAGCCTTGGGCATTGAATTGTCAAATGTTAGCCCTAATCCGTGAGCTGTGAATAGGAGATATCAATCTTCAACTGGAGGGCTGTTCGAGCATGGATGTGAGGACCATAAGCACAGTTCATTGACCATTATCCTAGGAGCAAATCTTATATTAAACGGATCAGGAGTATGCAAGCATCTACCAGAGTCGTCAGTCACAAATGTTTATACTCGTAAGAAAGACTGGAACAGAAAAAATGTTAAAATGCAATTCAACGTTAATGAAAGAGGAAACTATGCAGTTGATGCGGCAAAATGGTAGCATACAGAATGTGTAAAGGAAACAAAGCCTTGACCAACGATGACACCTGCCTATTTTAAAGGCTCCTGCTATTGGCAAGCAAATCCCTGCCCTGGCGTTGTTTTGACTGACCAACCAGCGCATTGTGAGATACGGACAGAAGCCCGTGCACTCTTGGCTAGGAATTAGCGCCGTAAGTCATGAGGAAGTGGCCATGAGCCACAAGCCCGAGCCATTGACCGTGGTCCATAGCACTGAGCCGCTGTCTACGGACTATTGCAGTCGCTTGAATCTCATTGTGGGTTGCAGGACATGCCTCACTGGCCCTGGGTAGTGGCCCGTTTGGCAGTGAACCAATGACCGTGAGCTGGTTGTATGTAGCTGCGTGTCGGCGTTCTGCCCAGTCCGTTACCGTTTGCGTGCCTCTTCACCGGTCCGCCCCTGCCGCGCCGTGCCACTTAGTTTTACGGCTGACTGTGCGACGAATGGTCCATTTGAAAAACGCACCGGCCGCCTCCAGTCCACTCCGGTGGCAGTATTGAGCCGGGTGTAATCGGCGTGGCTGGCACGCGTCGCGGGTAAGGAGGAATCATCAGTCTAGTGTCATTCTGAGCGTATCATATCTCTTATATCATTAGTCTATTAGAAAAGGAATATGGTAATCACGGTTGTGAGTGTAACTCCATTGCATCCATATACGAGTACAGGAGTGGTACCTAAGAAGCAAGATGATGGCCAGACACCACAGTATCACTCTTTCATATATCAAATGTTGTTAGCCGTTTTCACGACGGGCTATCCGGCGAATGTACCTGATTTGACCAAATCTGCACCTAATTTCTTTTACAGCAAATATCTTCATTCTATGAATTTATTTCAGTGTTTTAATCATTGATGCTCTCTGATAATATGGCATAGCAGGCACATAAGCAATTAGTGCAACCCTAGCTGATAGCTGCTCAGAGACACACTGAACCTGATTTGACCAAATCTGCACCTAATCTGTACCAGATGTGCACCAAATGAGTACCAGATGGCCGTCGTGAAAACGGCTATTACCATCAGAATCTCCTACAAAGTAATATCTACGATTCTCTATTTTTGACCGAACTCATGACCACTATGGTCAATCGCCACCACATTTCTCGGTCAAATATCACACCGCTGCGTCCGCCCACCGACCTCCCCCACCATCGATAACAGACGGACGCGGCCAGCGGCACGCTCCACGCAGAGCTGCGGTCATCACTCATGTTCTCTCTGTCTCCGTCTGTTCAAACTGACGACATTTATCGCGCCCGGCGCGGCGGGCCAGTGCTGGAACAGTCACGATCGCCGACAGCCGACCTAACTTGGCAGGTTGACGGGCGAGGCAGATTGACAGATTCGCGGGCGGCAGAGTGCGTGAATTGACGACGAAAATGTGGGAGATGAGTGATGCCCATGGAAAGCACAAATTGAAGCTGTTTAAACAGTTAAAAAATTTGCCTAAGATCTTATAATTTGTGGCAAGCATTTATGTACCTCTGTATACCCAGGTCTATGGTGGCAGACCATTCTAGAATATATCACGGAGACATAACATATTGTACCGCTTTTTGACTTTTTTTCACAGTCATCGACTGCCGATGAAATATACTGCGTTCCGTTAAAAGGCATGTCTATAGCCACAATTTATACAGCTGGAATTCACTGCACACCCTCGCGAGGGCTCCGAAATAAAACTCAAATGCGCATGCAGTAGAGCCGGAGAGATAAACTGGGAAAGCGTGTCGACAGCGCCATCTCTGGGGAGCGATTGAACTAAATGGGGCCATTACTATGGGGGCAGCCACAAACCGGGCACTGAAACTCACCCTCGGGGCTTTAGAGCGCGATCTGCGCAGCAGACTCGCCCGGGGAATGGAGGGTGCGTTTGGTTTCCTGCCATTGCCGGAGAGTTACAGTCATGTTCACTTTAGCCGAGATTTGTGATACATATCTGCTGATATTCAGCAAGACTCAATGGGGCACGGCATTTGACAAATGAAAATTGTGAGGATAAATCGAAAATATAAAGTAGAGTACAACTAGAAAATATCAAGATGGTTATTTTGCTAAAGCATTAACAATGGATGGTGTACAAGAAATTACACAAGAACAAACCTATATTGCACAATGTCAGGCTATTGCTTAATCCAAAATACCTAAGATGAGATAGAATATATGCCGACGCATCCTCTCCTGAACGTTTGGTACTGTTGTGCATTTAAATTTTCGTGATCGCGGTGATAAATGAAAAATGAAAATAATAAGTAATAACAAAACGTAGCGTATGTTACCGGCCACCAGCAGTGTGATCAGGTGCCAGGAGGAACAGACTGACACTGCTCTCCATCAACACCAGGATCTTCCAGGGATCATGCCTGGGACCGATGTTGTACAACATCGCCTCCATCGGCGCCGCCTGCTACGTGCCGTCCGAGGTGAATGACAGCATAGCTAGGATGGCCAGGTACGCCGATGACACCCAGCTGGTCGTCTCAGGACCCAAGGGGAGGCTGCCAGAGATCCAGACTGCATTGGAAGGCGGCCGCCTCGCAATTATTGTTCGGCAGCAAAAAAGAAAAGACTGAGATACGGTGACCTCTTCACCCCACTTTATCTTATTCTCCAGACGACTAAATGAAATACAAATTGCCGCATCGATTCAGGATAACAGTGGAATAATGGCGGAAGGACAGGTAAGGGTCCAAACGGTCTCCTCATGAATTGCAGCAAAGAAAGAAAACAGACCTGTCACCAAATAATCTTTCTGAAAAGTGGACTAATCGCATAGCCTCGGACACAGAAGTAAACATCCAGCACGCGAAGCGCCCCGAACCGGGCCTCTCACTACCGGTCAGTTTGACAGTCTAGCACTCCTACGCTGAGCTACACCGGATGGTGGCCACGGCCGGGGCAAAGTCTGGCCGGGCGGGCGGTGGGGCCGGGAGGTCGGCAGCGAAGTCAATGAATGTTTTTGTGGTTGGGGGGTGCCGGTCGCTCTAGCTTGGTGGAATGATGGTGGATCATTGGCAAAACTTTCAACGTGGAGTCCCGGTTCGAGTCTCATCGGGGCTCCGGCTACTTTTCCGGGTTAGGATCTGGTTTGATTTTAGTGGTTGCGAGCCATTTATACGGTTTTATATCTACATGTCGATTGTCGATTGATTGATTGATTCATTCATTCGTTCATTTTATCCATGTCGACATTTAGCATACGAATTGACATCCAGGATCAATCCGATCAATCTACCATTTTCACCTAAATATCATGCATATATGGGGCACAAGACCTATAGTTGCCTCGATACCGTGCCAAATCACGTTTTGCACAATGCACGAGTAAATTATATTCGCTGGGTCTTCCGTGCATTGTGCTTAGCAAAAACAGGAATGCAATTGTTAAGCGACGCAAAATGTGCAATGCAGCAAGTGACCAGTGACCACACACACCCACACACCCCCATGGTCCACCAACACGCCCCACAGTCCACACCACTCGCCAGCTCACGCCAACCACCGAGACGAGCCCCTCCCCCCGCGCTGGTCTGACGCGACAGCTGGTCTACAAAGCGCTCCACCCGGCGACCCGAGCCGATGTCAAACGGCGTGGGTAGACTGTGCCGCTTCACTCTCGGATCATGCGGCACAGTCTACCGGTACCAGGCGGCTGCTGCCAATGCTGAGCCATAGGAACCCGGTGGATAAAGAGTAGGGGACCATCAACCTGTACACGACTGTACGTGATAAGCAATTAACAATGAACTATCGCAGTAATGTCTTTACTCAATCTTGCCAATTGCCATAAGGTTTGCCGAAACATTAATTGATAAATGCAAATGACATCGTCCCATTGACAAACAACAATACCACATGAACACTAGCGAAAGTTCATGCTGATTTCAATCAATAGCAATAGGAATCAAGGCCTTCACCTAAGATTAGTATGTTTTCTTTCAGCAGTGTCCTGGATTTTGTGAAAGGAAGCAGATCAGTCTTCTGTCATTGTCGACTGTTATCATTTATGCTATGCAGGAAGTTCATTTGACATTTCCCTCGCAAATAAACACTACAACGTCGATTGACTACAACTATTACATAAACAATATAAGCGTGGCGCAGGAGGAACGGCCCAGTATGGAGAAGTTCCGTGTATTCAGGACAATGTTCTGGATCGGCCTGGATTCTTGTCGCCTTCTGGCGCCTGGACAGTACCTATGTACCTTAATATATGGGACAGTGGCTTCAGGTTATGATGTTGAGTGTGAATAATATCAGTAACCTCCATACTTAGATATTTACATACGCATGTGCGCATATGTAGAAAAAGATGACTTTTCGAAAGGTTTTTGGCGTGTTTTGTACTTGTTGAAGGCACGTTTATTGCCTCGCAATTAAACCGGTAATTATACTGCACAATGCAAAATATACAGATTGTACATGTTTGAGAAGAGTCACATATGGCGAAGAAAAAGAAGAGAGAGAGAGAGAGAGAGAGAGAGAGAGAGAGAGAGAGAGAGAGAGAGAGAGAGAGAGAGAGAGAGAGAGAGAGAGAGAGAGAGAGAGAGAGAGAGAGAGAGAGAGAGAGAGAGAGAGAGAGAGAGAGAGAGAGAGAGAGAGAGAGAGAGAGAGAGAGAGAGAGAGAGAGAGAGAGAGAGAGAGAGAGAGAAATAAAGAAAGCGATACCAAACACCGACAATCTCAGCTCAGAATTCCCGCATGGCTTTTACTACATATAACCTGGCAAAAGCGCACACAATACTCAAACAGGTCCCGGAGTGCCCATTTCAACCGCACATGCATTCGTGCAAGGAGGCTTCTATTCAAACAAGATCTCTTCCTTTCAAATTACACGCGGCACCAGGGTCTCAGCGTGCATTACGCTAATGACTCGTGGAAGGTAGTTGGATATGTGTCCCCCTGAGAAAGGACCGTCGTCTCGATTACATCACGTAAAATAGGTACACAGTTCAAGCCAAGCATGCGTCTACCTTAGCGTGGTGAAATTAACACCCGAATGACAAAAGCAACCGAAAATCCTTTCCTCGTCATGGCTCATGCTGTGATACATTCCTACCACACACAACTAAACAGGACTTACCGTTCACTCGTCTTTCTGCTACGAGTTCTTCACTTCGTCTTTCTTCCACGCCTGCCTTCAGTGCCCTCCGCGAAACCACAACGTGCTATTGACGGTCACTAAAACGTCCCTATCCCTTCTCCCGCCAGAATCTATACGCTCCGCCCGTCGACGCGACACAACCTCCCTCGCTGACGGCCCGCGCGCGACTGGCGGCCCTGGTCTGGCCGTCGACGGCCGGGTCAGAAGGTCACCCTCGGCCCCTCCCCTCCCCCGCAGGTAGAGTTCTGCACGGCTGCAATTTTCCACAGCCTAGCCGCCCCGCAGCCGTGGCTCCACAGCCACAGCCGCCCACAGCCATGGCAAACTGTGGGCAGCCAGCCGTCAGCCGGCCGTGGATACTTTCAATGAAATGCAGCCAAATAGTATATAATAAGTTGTTTTTAGTTGAAACATATAGCCAAAAGCACATTGCAATGGGCTATAGATTCTCAAGCTCATGAAGCATCATAGGTTAAGTGGTTGTGTACCTGGCTTTAGGCCGAAGGCCTGAAGCCTGATGCGCAACGCATGCCTACACAAGCCCTTGCAAAGGGTTAAGAAAGAATGTAACGGAAGTTGGCACAGATTCAGCACAGATTCAGCACAGCACAGATTCGGTAGGGGGAAAAAAGGCCCCGGTAGAGGGAAACCTTTATGACCCGTTTTCCCCTAGAAATGACGTCACAAAGAGGTAAAAATGGGTATCAATCGAAAGCTCTCGTTTACCCAGACACAGTCCTGCAGGAAAATTCCACTTTTTCCCCATAGGAAAGTTTGTACGGGAAAATCAAAATTTTGGGTCAATGGGGGGTCCCCCCCGATTTCGTTCAAAATCGGCACACAGGTGCCCCACCACCAGCCGAGAAACTTTCCCCAAAACGGTCCCCGTTGCATTGACGTTTAAGGCCCGTAAAGCCCCCTAGACTCGTAAAATATCCGTAAAATCGCCTTTGTACGGACAAAAAAGTGGTGCTATGGTAAAAATGGGTATTAATCGAAAGCTCTCGTTTACCCAGACACAGTCCTGCAGGAAAATTCCACTTTTTCCCTATAGGAAAGTTTGTACGGGAAAATCAAAATTTTGGGTCAATGGGGGGTCCCCCCGATTTCGTTCAAAATCGGCACACAGGTGCCCCACCACCAGCCGAAAAACTTTCCCCAAAACGGTCCCCGTTGCATTGACGTTTAAGGCCCGTAAAGCCCCCTAGACTCGTAAAATATCCGTAAAATCGCCTTTGTACGGACAAAAAAGTGGTGCTATGGTAAAAATGGGTATCAATCGAAAGCTCTCGTTTACCCAGACACAGTCCTGCAGGAAAATTCCACTTTTTCCCCATAGGAAAGTTTGTACGGGAAAATCAAAATTTTGGGTCAATGGGGGGGTCCCCCCCGATTTCGTTCAAAATCGGCACACAGGTGCCCCACCACCAGCCGAGAAACTTTCCCCAAAACGGTCCCCGTTGCATTGACGTTTAAGGCCCGTAAAGCCCCCTAGACTCGTAAAATATCCGTAAAATCGCCTTTGTACGGACAAAAAAGTGGTGCTATGGTAAAAACGGGTATTAATCGAAAGCTCTCGTTTACCCAGACACAGTCCTGCAGGAAAATTCCACTTTTTCCCTATAGGAAAGTTTGTACGGGAAAATCAAAATTTTGGGTCAATGGGGGGTCCCCCCCGATTTCGTTCAAAATCGGCACACAGGTGCCCCACCACCAGCCGAGAAACTTTCCCCAAAACGGTCCCCGTTGCATTGACGTTTAAGGCCCGTAAAGCCCCCTAGACTCGTAAAATATCCGTAAAATCGCCTTTGTACGGACAAAAAAGTGGTGCTATGGTAAAAATGGGTATCAATCGAAAGCTCTCGTTTACCCAGACACAGTCCTGCAGGAAAATTCCACTTTTTCCCCATAGGAAAGTTTGTACGGGAAAATCAAAATTTTGGGTCAATGGGGGGTCCCCCCCGATTTCGTTCAAAATCGGCACACAGGTGCCCCACCACCAGCCGAGAAACTTTCCCCAAAACGGTCCCCGTTGCATTGACGTTTAAGGCCCGTAAAGCCCCCTAGACTCGTAAAATATCCGTAAAATCGCCTTTGTACGGACAAAAAAGTGGTGCTATGGTAAAAATGGGTATCAAACGAAAGCTCTCGTTTACCCAGACACAGTCCTGCAGGAAAATTCCACTTTTTCCCCATAGGAAAGTTTGTACGGGAAAATCAAAATTTTGGGTCAATGGGGGGTCCCCCCCCCGATTTCGTTCAAAATCGGCACACAGGTGCCCCACCACCAGCCGAGAAACTTTCCCCAAAACGGTCCCCGTTGCATTGACGTTTAAGGCCCGTAAAGCCCCCTAGACTCGTAAAATATCCGTAAAATCGCCTTTGTACGGACAAAAAAGTGGTGCTATGGTAAAAATGGGTATCAATCGAAAGCTCTCGTTTACCCAGACACAGTCCTGCAGGAAAATTCCACTTTCTCCCCATAGGAAAGTTTGTACGGGAAAATCAAAATTTTGGGTCAATGGGGGGTCCCCCCGATTTCGTTCAAAATCGGCACACAGGTGCCCCACCACCAGCCGAGAAACTTTCCCCAAAACGGTCCCCGTTGCATTGACGTTTAAGGCCCGTAAAGCCCCCTAGACTCGTAAAATATCCGTAAAGTCGCCTTTGTACGGACAAAAAAGTGGTGCTATGGTAAAAATGGGTATCAATCGAAAGCTCTCGTTTACCCAGACACAGTCCTGCAGGAAAATTCCACTTTTTCCCCATAGGAAAGTTTGTACGGGAAAATCAAAATTTTGGGTCAATGGGGGGTCCCCCCCGATTTCGTTCAAAATCGGCACACAGGTGCCCCACCACCAGCCGAGAAACTTTCCCCAAAACGGTCCCCGTTTCATTGACGTTTAAGGCCCGTAAAGCCCCCTAGACTCGTAAAATATCCGTAAAATCGCCTTTGTACGGACAAAAAAAGTGGTGCAATGGTAAAAATGGGTATCAATCGAAAGCTCTCGTTTACCCAGACACAGTCCTGCAGGAAAATTCCACTTTTTCCCCATAGGAAAGTTTGTATGGGAAAATCAAAATTTTGGGTCAATGGGGGGTCCCCCCCGATTTCGTTCAAAATCGGCACACAGGTGCCCCACCACCAGCCGAGAAACTTTCCCCAAAACGGTCCCCGTTGCATTGACGTTTAAGGCCCGTAAAGCCCCCTAGACTCGTAAAATATCCGTAAAATCGCCTTTGTACGGACAAAAAAGTGGTGCTATGGTAAAAATGGGTATCAATCGAAAGCTCTCGTTTACCCAGACACAGTCCTGCAGGAAAATTCCACTTTTTCCCCATAGGAAAGTTTGTACGGGAAAATCAAAATTTTGGGTCAATGGGGGGTCCCCCCCCGATTTCGTTCAAAATCGGCACACAGGTGCCCCACCACCAGCCGAGAAACTTTCCCCAAAACGGTCCCCGTTGCATTGACGTTTAAGGCCCGTAAAGCCCCCTAGACTCGTAAAATATCCGTAAAATCGCCTTTGTACGGACAAAAAAGTGGTGCTATGGTAAAAATGGGTATCAATCGAAAGTTCTCGTTTACCCAGACACAGTCCTGCAGGAAAATTCCACTTTTTCCCCATAGGAAAGTTTGTATGGGAAAATCAAAGTTTTGGGTCAATGGGGGGTCCCCCCCCCGATTTCGTTCAAAATCGGCACACAGGTGCCCCACCACCAGCCGAGAAACTTTCCCCAAAACGGTCCCCGTTGCATTGACGTTTAAGGCCCGTAAAGCCCCCTAGACTCGTAAAATATCCGTAAAATCGCCTTTGTACGGACAAAAAAGTGGTGCTATGGTAAAAATGGGTATCAATCGAAAGCTCTCGTTTACCCAGACACAGTCCTGCAGGAAAATTCCACTTTTTCCCCATAGGAAAGTTTGTACGGGAAAATCAAAATTTTGGGTCAATGGGGGGTCCCCCCCGATTTCGTTCAAAATCGGCACACAGGTGCCCCACCACCAGCCGAGAAACTTTCCCCAAAACGGTCCCCGTTGCATTGACGTTTAAGGCCCGTAAAGCCCCCTAGACTCGTAAAATATCCGTAAAATCGCCTTTGTACGGACAAAAAAGTGGTGCTATGGTAAAAATGGGTATCAATCGAAAGCTCTCGTTTACCCAGACACAGTCCTGCAGGAAAATTCCACTTTTTCCCCATAGGAAAGTTTGTACGGGAAAATCAAAATTTTGGGTCAATGGGGGGGTCCCCCCCGATTTCGTTCAAAATCGGCACACAGGTGCCCCACTACCAGCCGAGAAACTTTCCCCAAAACGGTCCCCGTTGCATTGACGTTTAAGGCCCGTAAAGCCCTCTAGACTCATAAAATAACCGTAAAATCCTAAAAATAAATCCGTAAAATATCGGCACCTGTGTGCCGATTTTGAACGAAATCGGGGGGGACCCCCCATTGACCCAAAATTTTGATTTTCCCGTACAAACTTTCCTATGGGGAAAAAGTGGAATTTTCCTGCAGGACTGTGTCTGGGTAAACGAGAGCTTTCGATTGATACCCATTTTTACCATAGCACCACTTTTTTGTCCGTACAAAGGCGATTTTACGGATATTTTACGAGTCTAGGGGGCTTTACGGGCCTTAAACGTCAATGCAACGGGGACCGTTTTGGGGAAAGTTTCTCGGCTGGTGGTGGGGCACCTGTGTGCCGATTTTGAACGAAATCGGGGGGACCCCCCATTGACCCAAAATTTTGATTTTCCCGTACAAACTTTCCTATGGGGAAAAAGTGGAATTTTCCTGCAGGACTGTGTCTGGGTAAACGAGAGCTTTCGATTGATACCCATTTTTACCATAGCACCACTTTTTTGTCCGTACAAAGGCGATTTTACGGATATTTTACGAGTCTAGGGGGCTTTACGGGCCTTAAACGTCAATGCAACGGGGACCGTTTTGGGGAAAGTTTCTCGGCTGGTGGTGGGGCACCTGTGTGCCGATTTTGAACGAAATCGGGGGGGACCCCCCATTGACCCAAAACTTTGATTTTCCCATACAAACTTTCCTATGGGGAAAAAGTGGAATTTTCCTGCAGGACTGTGTCTGGGTAAACGAGAACTTTCGATTGATACCCATTTTTACCATAGCACCACTTTTTTGTCCGTACAAAGGCG